CAATGTTAATGTTGTCATAAGAAGTGTGTAACAGTCTAATGACAGGAAAATAGAGTCGATATCAACCGATGTTTATCATATCGATTTAATTTTGATTGGAAACAATTTTCTATCATCTAAAATGACTGATTGATAAACAAAAAACAGTTTTTTTTGTATAATAAGTCGTATCTTCTAACCAGTTCCGTTCTTCTGAATTTCTAAAGATTTGTTTATCTCTAAAATACTCATTTTTATACAGATCACTCGCCCAAAAACTATAAACTATCTTTCAATAAACTTACCAATCGAATTGTCAGCTTCACCAATATTGGACTTGGTAGTTAATTGATCTTGCTCTTTGACTAAGAGTGAGTCTTGAGAGCATCGTGTACTCGTATCATAATCGCTCACATGTAATGTGAGTTTATCAAGATCCTCATATAAATTAAATTTTAAATCAATGGCAAATTTTTGTATTCGATGATTATTACGATCAACAACATAAAGATTTCCATCATTATCAAGTGATACACCTGTTGGCCCATTCAATTGACCTCCATAACCATTTCCACCAGCAATAATTTCACCTTCTTTACCTTCTTTACACCAACGTACTATTCGATCATTCCCACAATCTGCCACATAGATTTGACCTGAACGATCAACAACCACTCCTGAAGGAGAAGACAGGTGTTTGAGACTTTCTCCACGACCATTTCCACCAGCAACAACAATTCCTTCTTTTGCATCTTTTGTCCATTTCATTACACGCTGATTGCAGTGATCTGATATATAAAGAGAACCATATTCATCAATAAAAATATCATCAGGAGAATGGAGTTGATTAAGTTGACTTCCTTTATCATTGCCACCTGCAACTAATTCACCTTTTGTATCGCCTTGTTTATATCGTCGTACTTCATGTTTCTTGTCATCGCAAACATAAATAAATCCATTTTTATCGATTGTTAGACTACAGCAATCAATATTTGAAATAATAATTTGTTGTTTTGTTTGATTATTATCAAAATATCGAATTACTCGTTTGTTTCCGTAGTCAGCAATAATGAAAGATTTATTTTCTTCATCGAAAATTATGTCTTTTGGCCCATACAATTGATTATCTTGATTTCCTTTTCCATTTCCACCTACAATGATTTGACCTTTCTTTGAATCCAATTTCCATTTAACAATACGATGATTCCAACAATCAGCAATATAAATTGATTTATCATTGTCAATAAAGATTCCTTGAGGACCGTTGAGTTGATTTGGTTTATCTCCATTTTCATTTCCTCCAGCAACAGTAATTCCAGGTTGTTGAGATTTATTCTTTGTTGTTTGAATTCGTTCTAAAATAAAACATTTTCTTTTTATTCAAATCTTTTTCGCTATTTTTAAATCAAAAACGGGCAAAAATAAAAAAGAAAACTTGTACTTGAATTCATTTTAATAAAGTCAAATAAAAAATCTAAAAATTTAATTTATTCTGAGAAATTTGTCTAGATTTGAATTTTCTACTAAAATAAATCTCTTAGAAAACAAAACAAGTAATGATTTTATAGAAAATTGTCAATTGATTAATCTGTTGAAATAATATTTCGATTTGACCTTATTTAAATTTTTATAAATATTTTAAAATCATTAATTATAAAATATTTTATATACAATCTCAATGAACTTAAAATAAAAATCTTAAAGGGAATATTTGAAATGTGATTGATTGAAGGAAAATCAAATTCTTATTGAATTTTAATCGTTTGGGTGTCGGTAGGAAAGCATGGCTATTCTAATTCGCCCACGGCCGCAGTCACACCCTGTGTCTATCTCTAGATTGAAAAAACTATGATACTAAGCAAAAATCTATAGGAATTTGTTATCCATAATCTTAGGGTAGTAAGACCTTCTATTGCTGAGTTTCACCTTGGCTGTAAATACTTTTGTATAAAGTGGAAGATTTCAGGTGAACTACTCAGTTGAATATGTTCACACGTTAATAAAAAGCAAACTAAATATATGATAAAAGTTTTTATTCAACATACCTTTTTTAAAAAAAAAATGTTCACGAAGACATGAATGTATCCATGGTCGTCGCTGATTATTTGATTTTAACATTATTTCGTCTAAAACTGCTATCATGATATTTTGTAGCTTCATATTTGGTGTTGAAATATGGTTTAATAGTGAATGTGTAAAATAGCTATTTCCATTCGTATGACGACCGGCAGCATATGATACCGTACCAGGATCAGCTGAATATATTATGATAAATTGAGAGTCATTTGTTCGACGGACATTTTTTGACAGGACTTCGTCAAAGGCAAATTTGAGGTCATCTTCATTTTCCGCACTTGTAGCCTTCGTTTTCCACGTATTATTTTCTTTATCAGCACGATATGCATCGAGTATAACAATATTTAATAATTTATCTTTACAGTTATTCAACTGTTTTAACAGTTTATCCAGACAGATACAATTCAATTCAGGATTATCTTTGTCTTCAATTGGTATTAAATAAGTTTGACCCTAAAATAGTATCGTAATTTATGAGTTCATACGAAATTTTTTGCGACAAAACTTTTTTTAACATTTCACATCAGATGCAAAAAGAAGCCCGTATGGATGCGAGGGTGTGGATACGGGTGTGGGTGGAAAATAAAAAAGAGAATACTCATCTACACACACCCTAGCTTGTTAGAAAATAGAGTACAACTATCTCATTATCGAGCCAATCTTTGAAACAAAAATGTTATATTCGTGATCAATACACTCTATTCTATCGTTTCACAAGCATCATAAATAGATTTAAGAAAAAAAATCTTCGTGATAGCTAAGGATTGCCTCAGACAAAACAAATCGAGTTTTCGTAAAGTAGAGAAAAAGTTCTAGAAATGAATAATTCTGACTGGACAACTAGAATCGAGGCTTATTTCAATAGGTTGAAAGCGATCCATGGTTATTTTTCTAGATGCGTCGTTGTTAAGGAAAACACTTGCTGAGCCGTCATTATTAGAGGAAATACTTTTTCATCGATTCCAAACATTGTTTTATTGCTTTATTCATTATATGAAGTCGTAGTTAGTTTCTAATGAACCTTTCCATTTTGATAGACTTTAACATACTCTACAAAATTGTCAAGAACATATTGGTTCTATCTCCAATGAAAAACGTTTTTTTCTCAAAAAGTAAAATTTGGTTGAGTTTTCCCATAACGTCGTTATTAGAGAAAAAATTTGGCTTAGCGTTTGATTTAGGGAAAGTACTCCTAATAACGACGGACAAAGTCATTGATCTTAGACCGGTGACTACTCTTCCGAAAACTTTCAACAGAACAGTTATTCATATATCATTTGAAAGAGGAGAATCCAAGGAATATCGAAATATAAAAGCATTTTCAGTCGAATGTAAAATAACTGTATGGGATATAAAACAAGATGAACGAAAATTTTCGCGTGATTATTAGGGAAATCGTTCATACTTAAATCCGAAACAGCGATTATAGAGAGTGCTTTTGAGAAAAGTATCTTTCAGAAGATACCGTAATATTCACTTACTTTTTCTTCCATTCCATGCCCCGAAAAATAAATTAGTACACAATCACCATCATTAATAGTTGCACAAAAATCGTCAATGGCTTTTTTCATCTGGCGCAAGTTTTGATCGAGATATTGTGTGCAATCAAAACCTGCAAATATTTTTTCCAATGTAGTATAATTTCAAAAGAACTCTGAATTATTTTACTTACCTAGCTCTGTTAACTTGACGGTCATATCTTTTGCATCTTTCCAACAACTGTTTAATTTGCTAGTTTTATAGGAGTCATTTCCAAAAACTAAAGCCAATCTTCGGCGATCCATGTTATTTAGTTTTTCACTTTCTAAAATATCGGTTTAAAAATATTTTTCGAGTATAAACGCTTCTAAGACGCAAAAAGAAACGCTTGCACTTGCAGTTCCGATGAAACATTTACTATGCTCAGGCATGGTTAGAGGATTTGAATGTTGGTGTGAGGTGGGTGTGGGATGGGTAGGTGTTGGCATCAGTGATGAAAAACGCTGGCGCTCCATGAAGATTAGGTGTTCCTTCTAGTATAACTGGTTCGAACATTTCCCTGGATAACAGAAGACACGGGGTTCAAGTTCCGTGAAGAACATTTTTTTTCATTTTGTCACATAACATCGGTGATATCTGTTTGTTTACAGCTCTGTACATATGAGAGATAACAGGGTGTGGATGGACTGTGGACGCCTACCTCCTCTTAAGTCACATCACAGATACACTACTTAAATATTCAACGAAAGTCACTTCTCAACTGATAAAATATCTGAAATGAAAAGGGAAAATAAAAAAGAATGGTTCTTTTCAATAATTTCTTTCTCTTTTTATCCTTCTTCTGTTCTCTCAGTTATCCCAATACCAATACTTACGAAAAGAAACGAAGCAATATGTTAACCAGATGTTGTAAATAAGTAGAAGTTGATGACAAGAACGATGAAAAAATCAGTAATTGTATTTTATCTGAAACAGAAAGAAATAAATTGAATACGAAGCTTAAATATATATATATTATCAAGTTTTATAGGAAAACTAAATGTTTGTTCATCAAAATTCGATTCTATTTTCAATTCGGATCATTTCCATTTAGTTTCGTACCCAATATATCTTTGCAAAAATGAAATTTCTTCTAAATCGTAACGATCAGAAAAAAATCTAGAATAATTCTACTTCAGTTTATACACATAATGTTGTATAATAATAAATTTTTTTTGTGAAACACAAACTAAAAAGAGCGTTGAAATGTTTAAGGGCAGAAATCCTACTCATCTCCCCTCAGACTGTGACAGGCATTATTAATTAATATTAATTAAGTAGCATTAATTATTTGTCATTAATCAGTGAATATATATTGATTATCAATAACTAATTCATATTGTTTAATTTATAATAGCTAGGGTGGATGTAGATGAGAATGTCTTATTCTTATTCTAATATTTACATTCACACCCACCCACCCTTATTTAACGTCCAATTTCTTCATCAATATCATAATAATCAGAGATATTTCCATGTTTCAGTGTAACTCGTTCTGGTTGATGACCAGTTGTATTTTTATTTCCATTTCGAATAGATAATATAATAGCTCGATCACTAACATCAAGTGAAACATTTTTATCTTTTGTTATATCATTTTCATCTTTCGATAACATTACATTAGGTAATGGACTACCAATATAAGGAATTTTAATAACAATTGATTCACCTTTATCATAATTAAGAATATCTTGATAATTGGGTGGTAAACGAAATCTTGGTGGTGCTATGAAATCAAAAATACACATATATATTAAGAATTCATTTTTATTTATATATTTTAAACTTACATCGAACATTAACATTACAACGACACATTCTTGAACCACCTTTATTACGTGCTTTAATACTCCATTCAATAGCATCATCTGGTGTAGCATTATTAATAACCAAAATACATTTATCATCATCACGTGTTATAGTATATTTAGCACCTTGAGAAATTTCTTTTGTATCTTTGAACCTAATTATTTATTATAAAGAAATAGTTTAATATAAATAATTAACGAAAAAAGCCATTCAACATCAGGTTTAGGTGTTCCAGTAACTTCACATTCTAATGTAATTGTTTTACCTTCATTACCTTCAGCATCTTTTCACTTTTTAAGAAATTCTGGTGCAGTAGTAGATGCATTTGGATCTTTAACCTAATAAAATTAAAAAAATCTTATTTAGAAATATTGAAAAAATTCATTTCTATATACTTTAGTTGGTGTGGTTGCATCAGATGGTGTTCCTTTTCCAGCTTCATTTTCTGTTGTAACACGAAATTCATAAATATGATCTTCGACTAATGATGGTACTGTAAAATGTGTTGATTGACATATTGACTGGCATCCATTTATCAGTATTTCCTTCACGTTTTTCAATCCAATAACCACTTATAGGAACATCATCATCGGAAGTTAGTTTATCCCAATTAAGTGTGACAGTATTATTTGTCATTCCAGTGATATTTGGTTGTCCAGGTGAACCAGGTAGTTCTATTTAAAATTAAGAAAAAAAACAAATTTTTAGATAAAATAAAACTAATCATATTTAACATACTGAATGGAAGTTTAGCATTAGTTGGTGCTGTTGAAGATAATGGTTAACTAGTGCCATTTTCATTAATAGCCATAACACGGAAATCATATTCATGTTCATCAAGTAATGATGGAACAGTAAATGTTGTTTCATTACATGCTTGTGTAACTGGTATCCAAACATCGGCTCCTTTTGATGTATCACGTCGTTCAACAACATAACCAGTTACTTTACTACCACTATCATCTTTTGGTGGTTTCCATGAAAGTGTTGCACGATCTTTCGATACATTTGATATTTCAAGTGGACCAGTTGGAGGAAGTGGTGGTGCTATTGTAAAAAAACTTTAATGTCAAGTTTTATGATAGTTTTTACTCATACCAATGATTTTAACTTTCAAAGGAACATTGCATGATCCTGAATCATTAGCAACATTAATTGCATATGTACCAGCATCTTCTCGTTCAGTATCTAAATAAGATTAAATATAGAATTTAGAAAACGAAAAAAACAAATTTAATAGAATACAAAGCAGGTATTGTAACAACAATAAAATCATCAGATTCTAGAATACGTACACGATCATCATCAGCTGATGATTGATCATCTTTTTTAACTTTTGATGTTTCACCCAATGGAACACGTTGTTCTTCTGGTTCTCGTGTAAGTTTAGGTGGTGCTAAAAAAAGTGACAATACACAACATTAAATAGTAATGAATTCAAACTCTATCAAAACATACTTTTAACATGAAATCTTTGAGTTATTATCACTATCCCAAGCTTCATTCAATTTTAATGTAGATTTGGAGTCATTTGGTTTTGTAACAATACGGCAACGACCAGATGATGATAATTCGAAACCATTTAACTTCAGGTGCTGGATTAGCATCAAATTTAATTGTAAATGCTACTTCACCATTAAGAGATGTACTTGTATCTGTTAATTTTTTAACAAATCTTGGTGCTTGTCCATCTAAATATATCATATGTCAATATTTTAATTGAAAAGAAAAAGAAATATCATATTACTTGGATATTCAGTTATTTTAACTCGATCAGTTGTTGAACTTGGTTCACTTTCACCAGCTTTATTATTTTCTTTAACTCATTGATCAGTACCAACTGATCGTTTTTCAACAACATAACCAGTTATTTTTGAACCACCATCATTTGTTGGTGTTGTCCATGCTGATTCAACATAATTTTAACCAACTCTTTTCACTTCTGACATACCAGGTGATGAAGGTACAACTATAGACAAAAAAACGAGCATATTTTTATTCTTAAATAAATTTGTTTACATACCACTATCAGATTTAAGCATAACTGGTCGATCAAGTAATTAAATAGTGTGATAAGATGAAGTGAAATGATGGAGAAATCGAATGATTTATTCAGAAAAAACACGATTATATCTATATGTGAAATGAATAAAGAGAAGAATTCGTCAAGAAGTTTCTTGTCTTTATTAAGTTCATAAGAAAGACAGACAATGGATCGAGGTCCAGAAAGGTCACACAAGTACCCGATGTACGAAAGAGAAACAAGATATGAACGGAGGAGAAAGAAAGAGATATACGAGAGAGAAAGATATATATATATATATACAAGTGAACAGAAAGAACTATATGAAAATAAAAGATATGACTATGTAACACAAGTTTAGTATATTCTCCGCAACCAGCAGCATTTTTTGCTTTAACTCGAAATTCATATGATTTTCTTGTTGAGAGATTATCAACTGTAAACTCAATTCCTTTAACTGAATAATCATCTGCAATTTCCCATATATCACTAACTGGTTTACGTATTTCAACTTGATACGCAGCTATTTTTGAGCCACCATCATTTTTAGGTTTATTCCATTTTAATGTAACTGAATTTTCTGTTTGTTTACCAACTTCAACATTAGCTGGACCTTGTGATGCATCTAAACATAATTGGCAGGAAAAGATATTTTTATCGATTAAATTTTGTTTCAATAAAAACTTACCATAAGGATTTTTTGCAATATCCATAAACATTTTCAACCGAAACACGAAATTTATATTCTGAACCTTCATTAAGTCCAGTAACTTCGTAAAATGGTGAACGACAAAAACTTGATACTTTTTGCCATTCACCTTTTTTCGTATCAAATTTTTCAATAATGTGATTAGTTATTGGCGAACCACCATCAGTCTTGAGTGGTTTCCATGTCAATAAACATGAATCAGGTTTCACATGAGAAATATTTAATGCTCATTCGGGTGTATCTAAAATCCAAATAAAATATTAGAATTTAATTTTTGAAAATAATTGAACTAACCTGGTTTATCGACAACAATAACTTTCATTTGAACAGTTTCTTGGCCAAGATGATTTTTTAAAGTACATGAATATAAATCAGTATCACCACCTTTTACCTTTGGTACAATAAGTTCAGCAATACCATCTTTCACAGTTACTTGATTATTTCCATCAGGTTTAATTTCATCGCCATTTTTAGCAAATGTAACTTGTGGTGTAGGTGAACCAACAAATGGTACAGTAGTTTTAAGATCTTCACCAGCACGAACAATAATTTCTTTTAGAGTAAATGCACTGAAATCAACAGCATGTGAAGCAACATCAGGTGGACGAGCTTGAATTGGTCCTTTAGCTTTAGCTAAAAAAAGAATATTAATTAAAAATAATAGCAAAAAAAAACGAAGTCAAATGTTTACCATATTCTCCTGGACTAGCTCTATTAACGGCAGCAACACAAAATTCATATTCTTTGCCATCAACAAGACCAGCAACAGTATATTCAGCACCTGCAACTGGTTGACGATTAACACTAAAATTTAAATTGAATTTCAAAATATAATTGAAATTTAATAAATTATTTCTCTTACAGAATGCATTGATCAGTTTCTTTTTCTTTCTTTTCAACCAAATAACCTCGAACTGGATTTTTACCATCACTTTGTGGTCGTGTCCATTGTAATGTAATTAATTCACTTGTATGTTCTATACGTACGATAAGAATGAATGTGAAATTACAAAATAATATATTTGTAGTATGGACTATTCATGTTTGTACTCGTAAAGAGTGACTGATAGTTTATATTCGGAATATCTGTATTTCTTCTCTTCGCTTATTTAGCAAACAAATAACATGTATATATATACAACTATGAAACGACGATAAAAGTAAAATGATGATGATGAACTGTCAATCGAGATCAGAGAAAAGAATTAATCGAAATTAATTTATCATATTGAAGATACTAGTAGAATAAAGAAAAAAAAACGAAAAGAAGGATCGCGAGGCATATATTTTAATACTTTACTATCATACAAGCCAACAAAGAAACTCGTATATGATTGAATTAAAGCTACTTTAGATATCGTAAGATTGAATGATAATAATATAGAAGTTTCATCAAACGAAATAGATGAGAAAATATTTATCTTATTATAAATTTGTAAAAAAATTTTGATATTAAGTTATAATCAATACACATCAAATAATAAAAATTGAATATCTTGTGTTAAAATAGTTATGCAATACATTTATATTTAATTGAGTTATTATTTCAGTGGATATTTATAAACTTGTATGACTTACTAGTTATTTCTTATGAGATCTCGTTTCATGGGATTTTGTAGAGAATAAAATGATGTATTTCTTAAAAATAGATGAAGACGAAAGGACATAAGTTGTCGGATATATTTGAATAATACTGAGATCATCATTCTTTATCAGCCACTCGTTATATTCAAATAGAAAATATTCCATTTTTGAATTATTTTTATATTTTTCTTTTTGACAAAAAAGATCTATTTAGATAAAAGAAAAATTGTTTATTAAAGAATTCAATTTTACAATTTTTTTTTCTCTTCAATTTTCATTTTTTAATAAAATAAAACAATTCTGATCTTTTATTTATTTTTTATTCGATAATTTTTTCTTCTAAAAGGTAGATTTTTGTAATCTAATTTTCGATTTGAACACATTTTATTCTTATTCATTTATCTTTTTTCTTCTCTCTTCGCGTTCTCTTAATAAATCACAAAATCACAAAAATAAATCTAATAAAAATTCTATTGTGAAGTTTTTCTCTTATTGATTTAAATGTTTTTTTCAATTTAAAAAATATTTTGTTTGATTTCTCTATAAAAATTTAATTCTTTCTAATTGAATTTTCTTTAAAGTTCCTTCAATCTGATTCTCTCAAAAAACCTTCTATCCGAACTATTTTATTCATTTTGATGTTGTTAATTTAAAAATCAAACTGGAAAATATTTATTTGCTTTTTTCTAAAAATGAAAAATGAATTTATTTATTTTATTAAAAGAAATTTTTAATTCATTTTCATTTATTTTTTGCAAGATTTTTCATAAATCGATGTTCTTCTATTTATTTTAAATAAATAAAAATCCAAGTTTTATTAAACTAAATTAACACCAATTTTAATTTGAAATTTTTTCGTATTTTTGGATTCGATGATTTAACCAATCAGCAACATAAAGATTTTCTTCATTATCAAATAATAAACCTCTGGGACCATTCAATTGACTTCCTTCACCATTTTCACCAACAACAATTTCACCTTCTTCATCTCCTTTACACCAACGCATTACTCGATGATTCTTCATATCTGCCACATAGATTTGACCCAAATGATCAACAATCACTCCACTAGGACTATTCAATTGTTTGAGACTATCTCCTACATCATTTCCACCAGCAACAATAATTCCTTCTTTTGCATCTTTTTCCCATTTCATTACACGATGATTAAAAGAATCTGATATATAAAGAGAACAATCGTCATCAGCAAAGATAAAAGTAGGACCATTGAGTTGATTAAGTTGATTGCCTTGATCATTTCCACCTGCAACTAATTCACCTTCACCATCTCCTTGTTTGTATCGTCTTACTTCATGATTGATCCAATCAGAAGCATAAATAAATCCATTTTTATCAATTGTCAGACCCAAGCAATAAATATTTGAAATAATAATTTGTTGACTTGTTTGATTTTGATGAAAATATCGAATTACACGTTCGTTTCCCCAATCCGAAATAATAAAGGAGTTATTTTCTTTATCAAATATTATATTTATTGGATGATTCAATTGATTATTTTGATTTTCTTTTCGATTTCCACCTGCGATGATTTCACCAGTATTTGAATTCAATTTCCACTTGACAATACGATTATTCAAAGAATCGGCAATATAAATTGATTTATCATTATCAATAAAGATGCCTTCAGGATTACTGAGATGATCTAATCTATCTCCATATCCATTTCCTCCAGCAACAGTAATTGCAAATTGTTTAAATTTAGTCTTTTTGATTTGAATTTCTCCTAAAAACAAAAGATTGTCTTTTTATTCAAAATCTTTTTCATTATTTTTAAATCAGAAAAGGGCGAAAATAAGTAGAAAAACTTGTATGCGAATTTGTTTTAGTAAAATAAAATTTTCTATTTGTTAAACTTAATTCTTTCATTCAATTGAGATTATTTATTTAGAATTTCTTTATTGGATTTTTATAAATATTTAATTTAGTAAAATGTTCTTAAATGAAAATCATTTTTATTTCAATGATTTAAATAGAATCGATTAAAAAATTTCTTTTTATTTTGAAATTCTGAACTAGAGTTAAACTTAACTTAAATTTATCCAAAAATTTAAAAAGAAGATGATCTTATCATTGAAATATTAAAAGAGATTTTTCAAATGAAAAAACTAGAAAAATTCTATTTACTCTGAGAAATTTGTTTCGATTTGAATTTTCTGTTAGAATAAATCTTTTAAAAAACAAAGAAAGTAATGATTTTATAAAAAATAATTTGAAAGCGATGGATGAAATCTCTTTTTAGTGTTATATTAAATGATAGAAAAATCGAAAAAAACAAATTATGATTAATTTTATGAATATTGTTTCAAGAGAAATTTTTATTTGTCATCAAAAGAATAATATTATTTGAAAAATTAATTCAAATTGTTACTTAATTCATAAAAATAATATATGAAAAAGTTTTATCTCAATTTGAAAGTCGATGAAACTATTTTCCAAAATGTTGTAGGGTACTCACGCATAGCGGCGGCGCCAGGATTCTTGACTAGGGTGGGCTCAGGCCTAGTAAATTTCAAATGGGGTGGGCTCAGATAGAATAACATTGGTTTTTTTAAGATCTGAAAAAAATTTCAGGGTGGGCTGACCCCACCTCTAGCGCTGCCACTACTCACAGATTCATCCTATTATATAAGTTTTTGAGATAATTTAAAATAGAAAGAAAGCAAAGTTAAACTTTTTCCAATAAAAATATAAAGAGAGAGAATTTGTTCATATTTTATCTTTTGAATATAGATCCCAAAGTTTCCTTTCCAAAATATTTATTTTCTTTTGTGAAAATATTTTTCTACCTATAAAATACGGAATGATATTCATTTATACATGGAAATTTATTTCAGTTTCAAAAACAAAATTATTTCAGACGATTTCTTATAATTTAATAATTTTTCGTTTGGAAGTTTTTTTAATTTTCAAAGATAAGTAACATGTTAAAATATTTCAGTATAATAAAGAAAGATAGAAACCGATAATAACTATGATTAATTTATTTATTAGATTAATAAGATTTTTAATATTTTATTGAAACAAAAATCAATAAATATGAATTTATAAACAAAAACTAATCTGATCCTAAATCATTTCAATTTCTTATTTGATTAGTTTAGAAAAATATCAGAAATAAAATAATATTCTTTATCAATTTATTAATTCAATTTTACACAATTATTCTCATGTTGATTTATTTATCAAAATTCATTTTATTGATTTTGTTTTTAATAGATATAATAGTTAAACTACTTACTTGAATTTGCTGATCCAAATAATTCTTCATGAGTTTCGAGTTTTGTTTGTTGTTGATCCATAGAATAATAAATTATCTAATTCATTATTGAATAAAATATAATTAAATAAAATAAATGAAAGAAATAAGTTTAAGAATTTATATTACATAGAAATTGCTGATTCGAATGAACAAAATTAATAAATATTCTAAAAGAATAAAAAAAGATATTACATAAAGATTTAATTACAATATAAAATAATTTATCAAATATTATCTGATTATTCATGACAAAATGATAGTTCTCCTAAATAAGTATTAGATCAATCGATTCTTTTTTACTTATATTTGATTATATTTACTTGCTTCTTAAAGATCGGTCCAGGGTATGCATGTGCGTAAGAATAAATACAAGTCTATGACACACCCACACCATCAATAATAAACAAGAATGGCACATTCAATTTGAACTTTATCATATTTATGTATTAAATGAACGATTAAATTATATTTTCATTATTAGATTTAAAAAACAATCAATAATTAAAGTTACTTTATAGTTTTTCTATTCTTTCAAGTTAATCATATCTCGATGAGATACTGAGCCTAAGTCTAGGAAATAAATATATCATACTTTTGTACTTGAAAAATCTTATAGTACATCAAAATAGTTTCGAATAACTTGAATTTTATAGATAAAACATTTTATAAGTTAATTTAATTGAGATAATAATATTAATTAAGTTTTGTTTTAGTTTTTTTCGTTTAAAAACAGAAGAGAGGAACGCTTCTGATACAACAATGTTATGATATTATAAACTGGTTTTTCTACACGGAAATACAACAAAGACATGTTGATCATATATATTGCTCAAATCTGCGAACAGTCTATAATCTAAATCAATAGCAGGATTTAACAGTTGATAGTTTAAGATAAGAATACACTCTGAATGATTATCTGTACAAATACTGATATAAGTTTAATATGCATCTGGACAAATCTTCAAAAGCACAACAATATCAACTAACATTCAATACCTATCTCGCTGTAAAATCACCTCAAAAACACATGGTACCTCAGCATGAAGTTGTGGAAAAATAATAGATTTCTCGTCCGGTTATCTAAAAGTGCTAATCATACAAAAATAGATATATGCAATTTCTTAATAAATCACTACCAGCAATATGCATATTTCAGACATTCCTCCTTCTCATTATATTATATTATATACATAATTACCTTCTGTAGAAATGTCGATTGTAAAGAAATATGCGTGTGTTAATGAGTGTAAAAAAATTTAAATGTAAAAGAAATGAATATAATATAATACGAAACTAAACTATGAACCGTCTGTTTTCTTTCTTTCGTTTAGTTCTTTTTCTCCTTCTTTACTTCTATGGACAGCTATATTATCGAAATTGTGTGTCTTGATCTTTTGCTTGTCTGTATAAATAAAGATGTCACCGCGATCAAGTTATATTTCTTTGCTATTCTTTCTTTCTGTTCTCTCTAGATATTCTCTTCTATTCCATCTTGTTGAACATTTCAAACGAGATCTTATTCTTTTTGTTAATTGTCAACCTAGTTATAAAGGGACAATCAAACTGAACATAAAAAAACAATTTTATGATTTTTTTTGTAATTTTTATTAACTTTTGCTTGACTTTAATCACATTCTGAAAAAACGAATCAGTTTAAAACTAAATATATGTGAAGTTTCATATCAGTATCAAAACATGAAATGATCATTTCCACGAATTTTTTACTTATCACGGACTCTACAAAATGATACAGGATGATTTTGAAGCATTTCTATAAACATTTACTCGTGTATTTAACCTTCTTATATACGAATAATAAGTTTATTATAATCGAATTGCGTTCATTCTTAAATTTCAGACTCGTAATAATACATAAAACAGTATCAGTAGATTATGAATGAGAAAATATAGAATGCGAAGCACAGGTATCGACCGGAATATCCGCTCTGTGTGGATGCCAAGAGGCGACTATTGATATAGATATCATAGCCATCTCTCTATAGTTTCATTCTCATAATATCCTCACATCATACACTTCAATTGACAAAGCACATCATCACCTGTACTCGCATTTTCATATTTATACTCTCATCTGCATTAATATCTAAAATCATGAACATGGTGTTTCCTCTTTTACAAATTACCACAGGAACAAAACAAGTTTCTTCTGGTTTCATTAGTAGTTAAAATATATATTTATTTGAGAAGTTTTCAAATTAGTTTAAATTCTTTTAGTGAAACGACCAGTTATTGCTACAATCACTTCATATAGTTTATCAATTGAAGAATTTTCTAAAAATATAATCAAAAATCAATGCTTGAAATGTTCAGATGTCTGTCTATTGATTATAAATTAAACTTGAGAATAAATTTTGTTAAAAAATAACTTTTTTAAGTACTTTATACAAAAGAAACATATGAATGAATTTATAAATGATGTTAAAAACAATGTTATAATGGTTTCTTTTCTTTTTACAAAAACCAATGAGAATAAAAATGTGGCAATTCCAATAACCATATTGAATTAAAAAGATTTTTTCGGTTCAGAATAAAAAAACTCGAATGATAAAATTTTGTACAATCCTTAGAGTGTGGATGTGTGTTTAAATGCTTCGAAAATTCCTATTCCTATCAAAAATGCGTGCTGAACGCCGTCGATGGAGTGGCGTCTTCAATACAAAGTCATGAAATATTATTCGATCAAAGTTTCTAAAGATAGATGATCAGGGTTCGATTTTCTTTTTAATTTGAACCAATATATTAAAAATAGTTGTATATAATCTTTCGTCTTTTGTTGATATTTACAAACAAATCATAAGTAAATTAGTCAGATATTTTAGTACTAAAAAGCATTTAATTCAAGCTTAATATTAAAAAGAAATATCATTCAATTTGTTATTGTTTTCAATTACTTAAACAAAATTTTAAGATTTCGAAAATAGAATATTTTAATGGTTTGATTATCATTTTTTCAAAAACAAAAAGAAAAATATTTGAGAAATATTTTTATATTATTGAAAATATTGTCTTATGAAATTAGTGTTTTTATAAAATAAATAATCGCCCATTGTTGAATAAATAAAATAAATTTTATTAGAAGGAAATTGTTTAAGATATTTCATAAGTGATAAACTGGGTAAAATGATGATATAGTAAGAAAGAAGAACTATATTTGGATTGTTATTCTCTTTAATCTCATTATATTCTATTTGTGAATAAGATCTCACTCTACAAATTTTTAATCATTTTGGTTGTTTATTTTATCCAATATTTAATATTTTCAAAATACTATTTTTGAGTTTGTTATGGCATGATATATCATATGCCATAAAGAATGCTTATTCTCTTTCCATTTCCTCACGTACAACTGATATCGTTGAGTATTTAAAGAGTGAATATTGTGAAGAAGAGGATGATTCTTGTATTTGTAAAAGAGGAGGAATAAAGAAGAAAAAGGAACGATAACAAATTGGTGCACTGGCCGGGAATATTTTTTACATGGTTGTATGATAACAAGAAACTTACCACAACGACTTTTTGATACTGAATTTCGAAGATTAGCGAATATTGTTATCGAACCAACTGATCACATTATACCGTCACCTATCGTATATCAACCATTACAATTTATCATGGCTGAAAAAACTATCGCTTCCATCATTAATAAATCATTAGAACAAACAAAAAAGTTTTCTGGTAAAGCAGAAGAAGATGCTGATGAATGGATCAAAGATTTAATGTCGAAATTTAATATGGCTGAACTCACAGAACCTCAAGCATTGAAAATTATTCTAAATTTTCTGGATGGACCAGCTAAAGACTGGTATAATGAAAATAACGCACAATTTGAATCATGGAGTGTGTTTAAAGCTGAATTTATCCGTACTTATTCGTCTCCAGCAACAAAACAATTAGCTTCACATCGTCTTCGTACTCGCCAACAACGTGTTGATGAACCTATTATTGAATATTACATTGATGTTATTAAATTATGTAAACTCGTTGATCCAAACATGACTGATGCCTCAAAACTTGATCATTTATGCCATGGTTTAAAGTTATCTTTAATGCGTGAAGTATTACGTCATACACCACGTACTCCTGCTGAATTTTTAGAATACGCTAAACAGGAAGAAGTTCTTGATTCCTTAGTCAATACATTATTCAATTCAACTACTCATGAAGACAGACGTGATATGTACTCCGCTAATTCATTCACATCATCACCACAAATGTCTGTTGTTACATCTTCGTCACGATTTCCTACACAAGATGTACGTTACAGTTCACAACCTAATCGTCAACAAGAATCATCCTCTTCTTCACAATATTCACTCTTTAAATACTCAACGATATCAGTCGTACGTGAGGAAATGGAAAGAGAATAAGCATTCTTTATGGCATATGATATATCATGCCATAACAGAGTTGATAGATAATATTGATAAAAATTCGATTGAATATTATAGATTCTTATTATAATCAATATCATATAGAAGTCTTTGATGTTAATAACTGTGAAATTTTATCAAATAGTTTTTTATGACATACTTAGTTTGTTTGTCAGTACTTTTCTTTGTTGTCTATTTAGTTTAAGAATGATAATCTGATTTGTTTCTAATAGCTCAGAATTAAAATCAATATTTAAATAACTAACTTTATTATTTCTCTCATGAATATATAACAGATTAAGATGTTCGATGAACTTTCTCTGTTATTTACTGTCTCTTATAATAATTACATTGTACAGACTTGAACTGTTTCATATATCAAAGATTTTTAACATTATTATTGTTTAAGTACTAATAAAATGTAAAATCATCGAATTCTTCTTGAAAAAAATCTTATATTTGATATTGTATAATACTTAGATAAAAGTTAATTATGATTTTGAATTGATTTCAACAACATATAAAAAAAGCACAATTATTGTTAAGAAATCTAATACAAATATTCTTTAGAAATCGATCAAATAATATATAAAACTCGATTTCAATTTTGTTACACTAGACTTAGATTTATTTTGTGATGAATGAAATCTTTATAAAACATATAAAATCATCGAATTTTAATGTAATCGAAATATGAATAAATAGATTGTGTAGTTTTTGAAAAGTATAATTATTTTTCGTACTTGGTGTATTCTTCAAAATATTACGCCATTATAAGATATGCTTCTTATCAATTTCCATATACAATCTATGCAAATAGAAATGAAGATACATAAAAACAGTTGTGTTCTATTTTATTCAAATGCTATGAAACAATAAAAATACTAAATGACATATATTAATAAGAAGGATAAAAGTGGTGAAAAATCAAACATTTAGATAGTTTTAACATACATTATATATAAAAAAACAAGTTTTCATATTGTAAATTCAATGAAATATAATAAATTCCATTTTTATTAGAAAATAGGATTAGTTAATATTTTTGTGGAATAAAGTTAGATGAATATGCAATAGATGGTACACCGACAGTTGAGCCCCCGACAGTTGAGCTCCCCGACAATTGAGCCCCATATATAGAGAAGAAATTAGAGAACACCAGAAAATAATTTTACTTCACCAGAATAACACTAACATCAAAAACTAAGCAGAGCACGTGCTCTTTTAAACTACATTTCTCTTGTAATCAAATGTAAAGAAGATACTAGAGAAAATGTGGCTGTTCTGGAGGATTTTACAATTGACATTTTGTAATAATAATAACATTAAAGAGAAATAACTTGATAGTAACAAAATAAAGTAAAAAAGATAGAAGTGCAGTTATACGATAAGTTTAATGAAAAATAAAAGTAAATAATACAATTTAGAATTTTCGACCATTGACAGCTGGAAACGTTGGCGAATTCGGTCATCATCAGTAAATAATGTGAATGTTGTAATCATAATAATAATAAAATTGTATTATTTACTTTTATTTTTCATTAAACTTATCGTATAACTGCACTTCTATCTTTTTTATAATAATAACAGATAAGTACACAAGCAATTGTGTCGATTACATAAATAAACGAAATATATTCCGAAAAGTTATTTGTTTTACTAAAGATGACTGATTCAATCAAAGAAGGGTATTCTATCTGGCCATTAGTGCCATCAAAAGATTTCGCATATCTGTATGCTTTACTTTAAAATTCATTTAATAAATCACATACAAATTTTCTGTGTTCTCTATTATCTTCTCTATATATGGGGCTCAATTGTCGGGGGCTCAATTGTCGGGGAGCTCAACTGTCGGGTGGCTCAACTGTCGAGGGCTCAATTGTCGGGGCTCAACTGTCGGGGCTCAATTGTCGGGGAGCTCAACTTTCGGGTGGCTCAACTGTCGAGGGCTCAATTGTCGGGGCTCAGCTGTCGGGGCTCAATTGTCGGGTCACCGCAATAGATATATACTAAACATGAACATTTGAACGTGTGCGTGGATAAGAATGTGAGATGAATATAATATCGACACCCACGCCCTCAAGATGGTCGAAAATTCTTTCAAAAAGTCGACATATATGGTTCACTATATAGATTTTGTTTTTTGATAATTTTTTCTTTCAGCCATGAAGATTAAGATTGAGTTACGTAATACTTAATAGAGTACAAGTAACCCTATAAATTAGATTATTTCGTTTATTTCATCACGAAAGATCGAAGAGAAAAATATCATTTGACTATTTGAGTTATACTCAGAAGCATAATACGTTTTGTAAAAATATTTTCTCATTTTGAAAATCTGTAGTTCGATAATAGGCATACTACTTATGACAGTTTTGAAGAATAGCTGCTTAGCTCGACTTCAAATATCGATAAAAAAATTTAAAGCTATACAGTCACTTCAGCGGACAAAAGGCAAAAAAAATAAAGTCCCAACACAATTATAGTTTATAACTTCTATGTACGTATATGGTTCAAGCAAAATTAAATATAGTTTTAAAATGTTTAAATGATCCATTTATGTGATAAAAATGAAAATGAAAAAAGTATTCTTTTAATCTTTGATTTTAATTTAATATATATTAATCGATATTGTACAATGTGAGTTTTAGAGTTTGTCAATGTTCTCCTATTGAAATCTAATCTACTTTAAGAAGTTATGGCATACGTGAACGTAAGTGATGAAATTTACTTCAATTTTAGCATCATTTATTATAAATCACATATTCATGATTTCAATGATTTGATCGAAACACATTTATCCGATCAAAAAGGAAGAATGAAGAATTTAATGATTAAAGATGTGGATGTGGATGATTAACTCACTATCCATAACTACTTCACACTTACACCCTATTAAAACAATTTTTTTTTATTTTTTTTTCTCCAAGGTTTCTCATAAATTAATGTTTTTTTTCGTTTATTTTTGAAAATAAAAATCGGAGTTTTATCAAATTAAATTAAAAGTATTATACATTCATAAGTTTTTGAAATTTTTGGATTCGATGATTTCTTTTATCAACAACATAAAGGTTTTCTTCATTATCAAATGATAAAACTGTGGGATCATTCAATTGGTTTGATTCATTTCCATCACCATTTCCACCAACCACAACTTCACCTTCTGCATCTCCATCACACCAACGCATTACTCGATGATTCCCTTCATCTGCCACATAGATTTGACCCAAATGATCAACAATCACTCCTCGGGGATAATACAATTGTTTGAGACTTCCTCCACGACCATTTCCACCAGCAACAATAATTCCTTCTTTTGCATCTTTTTTCCATTTCATTACACGATGATTATGCACATCTGATATATAAAGAGAACAATCTTTATCAACAAAGATATAAGAAGAACCATCAAGTTGATTAAGGTGATTTCCGTCACCATTTCCACCTGCAACTAATTCACCTTTTGTATCTCCTTGTTTCCATCGTCTTACTTCATTATTCACGAAATCAGAAACATAAATAGATCCATTTTTATCGATTGCGACACCAGAACAAGCAATATTTGAAATAATAATTTGTTTATTTGTTAGATTTTCACCAAAATATCGAGTTATTTGATAGGTCACCGAAGCAAATGCCTTAATAAATGTATATGTTTTATCAGAAATAATAAAAGAATTATTTTCTTTATCAAAAATTATATTTGATGGAAAAGCCAATCGATCATTTTTATTTCCACCTACAATGATTTGACCTTCATTTGAATTCAATTTCCATTTAACAATACGATGATTTTCAGTATCAGCAATATAAATTGATTTATCATCATCAATAAAGATTCCATGAGAATAATCGAGTTGATTTAATTGATTTAATTGGTTGCCTTTTCCATTTCCTCCAGCAACAGTAATTCCAAATTGTTGAAATTTATTTTTTTTTGTTTGAACTGGTTCTAAAATAAAAGATTTTCTTTTTATTCAAAATCTTTTTCATTATTTTGAGATAAAAAAGGGCGAAAATAAGAAGAAAAACTTGTATTTGAATTTATTTTAATTAAATAATTTTCATTTTATTAAATTCAATTTTCAATCAACAAAATAAATTCTAAGCAGTTTCTTTATTTCTTCAGACTTTTTTAATTAAAAATTCTTTATTTTGATTTTCATAGGAGTTTGATTTAGGAAAAACTTTTTTTTGAAATGAAAACCATTTTTATTTTAATGATTTAAATAAAATCGATTAAAAACTTCTTTATTATTTGAAAATTCAAAACTATAGAGTTAAACTTAACTAAAGTTTATTGAACAATTTATATACAAGATAATCTTTTCATTAAAATATTAAAAGAGATTTTTCAAATGAAAAAAATCTAAAAATTCTATTTATTCTGAGAAATTTGTTTAGATTTGAAACTTATATTAGAAGTAAATCTTTTTGAAAACAAAAAAAGTAATGATTTTAAGATGTGGGTGCGGGGTGGGTGTAGATGTGCTCTATTGCCAATATTTCTAGACCCACCCTCAAGATGGTGTTGCGGATTTAGAAGTTTCTAAACAATTCATTTGGATTAAAGGCATTTATAAACTTACTTGAAGTAGACTCTTTGTGATGCATAATCGAAGGAAATGGAGGTTGAATTAAGACAACAGGCGGTTCAATTTGTTTTAAATGGATAATACGTAAATCTGCACCCTGCTTCATATTACCCATAACTTCAAAGTAACTGCACGGTAACAAAAGTACTTCGCTTTCCGAAATAAAATGTGAATGGTTTTGAATCATTTTCCCGTTGAAACATTGAATATTAAATAGAGTTCGTGGACCACTCTCTCCAAGAAATGTATCTTTCTGTAAAACATCTAAAGATGTTGTCGTCGACGAAAGTCCCCACCATGGAAATTTCTTGCCCTTTGGATAATCATCGCTAATATTTGCCTTTACACCTCTAAATACGAGACCTTGAATATCTTTCAATTTCCACAAGGCAGTGAAAAATAATTTTAGATACGAAAAGTACGGTACGAGTTGTTGTCGATCTTCACTTCGTAAAGCAGTGTTCAGTTGACGGTACAGACACTCCATCGTGTATAGATAGACGGCAGCAGATTCATCAGGTGTCAGACCATCTTTCGGTCGTTCGCAGTTGCCAGTTGCTGTCCAAACGAATCCTTGAATATTAGGAATTAAAGGTTCAAACGGTCGTACAGCTTCTTTGAGCGAGACAAGTGATTTCAGTTCATAACCTTGTATAGGTGAAAGACGTCGTTGTGGTTCTGAAGTGGCGTCCAAAAAACGTTCAGATGGAACGAAGGTAGAATGAGCCATGTTGATTTTACTATTGATGCAATACATTGGTTTTTCTAGAAACCGTAAAGAAAAGAATATAAAGATAAGACAAAAGAGTTCTTTCTCTCTGTTTCTTCGCTTCTCTTATAGAAAAAAAAGAATATACGACTTTCGAATAAACATATGGAAGGTAAAATTTAATACATTAAGATGGGTGTATGGGTGAGTGTGATTATCGGCGGATGGGTGTAGGCAAACGGCCTGGCTAAAGCAACGATGACTCCAAACGCATACCCCGACACCTATACTCACACTCTACTTAGAAAAATATACTCAATTTATCTTCAAATAACACAATGTAACAAAGATAAAACTATCAGCGCGTATGATTTTTCGACATCTTCAGAAACCACTCAAGACACGTTAAACCATACAAAGCACAGACATTCCTAATAGCAATCATGCGAGTTGATTTCATCATTTCTTCATCGAACCTTAAATATTCTCTCACTCTCCAAGACCTGACCACTCCTGAGATTAACTCTCAAAGACCTTATTCAAATACAACCTAATCAATTCAATATGCTCTAAATATAAAATGGACTATTTCATATAAAACAGCATATTCACATCAGTGTATGTGAGGGTGTAGCTGTGGGATAGGTAGGTGTTAGCGTCAGTGATGATACACGCTGACGCTAAACGAAGATTAGGTGTTCCTTCTAGTCTAACTGATTCTGACGTCTGCCCGAATAGCAGAAGATACGTGGTTCAAGTTTCGTGAAGGACATCTTTTTCTTCGTTTTGACACATAACATCGGTGATATGTTTGTCTACAGCTCTGTACATATCAGAGCTAACAAGATGTGGATGGACTATGGACGCCTATCCTCTGTTACGTCAAATCACAGACCCACAACTTAAATATTCAACGAAAGTGACTTCTCAACTGACAAAATATCTTAAATGATGAGAGAAAATCAAAAAGAATGGTTCTTTTCAATAATTTCTTTCTCTCTTTATCCTTCTTCTGTTCTCTCAGTTATCCCAATACCAATACTTACGAAAATAAACGAAGTAATATGTTAACCAGATGTTGTAAATAAGTAGAAGTTGATGACAAGAACGATGAAAAACTCAGTAATCGTATTTTATCTGAAATAGAAACAAATGAATTGAATACGAAGCTTAAATATAATTATATTATCAAGTTTTATAGGAAAACCAAATGTTTATTTATCAAAATTCGATTCTATTTTCAATTCGGATCATTTCCATTTAGTTTCGTACCCAATATATCTTTGCAAAAATGAATTTTCTTCTAAATCGTAACGATCAGAAAAAAATCTAGAGTAATTCTACTTAAGTTTATACACATAATTTTGTATAATAATAAAAAGTTTTGTGAAGCACATGTTAAAAGGAATGTTGAAATATTTAAGGGTAGAAATCCTACTCATCTCCCCTCAGACCGTAATAGGCATTATCATTTAACATTAATTAAGTAGCATTAATTATTTGTCATTAATTAATGAATATGAATTGATTATCAATAACTAATTCATATTATTGAATTTGTAATAGCTAGGGTGGATGTAGATGAGAATGTCTTATTCTTATTCTAATATTTACATTCACACCCACCCACCCTTATTCACCGTCCAATTTCTTTAACAATATCGTAATAATCATAGATATTTCCATGCTTAAGTGTAACTCGTTCTGGTTGATGACCAGTTGTATTTTTATTTCCATTTCGAATAGTTAATGCCATAGGTCGATTACTAATATCAATTGAAACGTTTTTATCTTTTGTTATATCATTTCCATCTTTTGATAACATTACATTAAGTAATGGACCACCAGTATAAAGAATTTTTACAACAACTGATTCACCTTTTTCATAATTAAGAATATTTTGATATTTGAGTGGTAAACGAAATCTTGTTGGTGCTATGAAATAAAAATATATTAAGAATTTCTTTTTTTTTTATATATTTTAAACTTACATCGAACATTAACATTACAACGACACATTTATGAACTACCTTTATTACGTGCTTTAATACTATATTCATCAACATCATCTGGTATAACATTATTAATAACCAAAATACATTTATCACCACCATGTGTTATAGTATATTTAGCACCTTTGTATCTAGTTAATTATTACAAAGAAATAGTTTGATATAACTAATTAATGAAGAAAAAAACAAACAAACCATTCAACATCAGATTTAGGTGTTCCAACACCCTCATATTCTAATGTAACTGTTTTACCTTCGTTACCTTCAGCATCTTTTCATTTTTTAACAAATTCTGGTGCAGTAGTAGATGCATTTGGATGTTTAATCTAATAAAATAAAAAATCTTATTTAAAAATAATGAAAAAATTCATTTCTATATACTTTAGTTGGTGTTCCATTTCCAGCTTCGTTCTCTGATGTAACACGAAATTCATAAATATGATCTTCGACTAATAATGGTACTGTAAAATGTGTTGATTGGCATGGTGACATATTGACTGGTATCCATTTATCAGTATTTCTTTCACGTTTTTCAATCCAATAACCAGTTATAGAACCACCACCATCAGAAGTTGGTTTCTCTCAATCAAGTGTGACAGTATTATTTGTCATTCCAGTAATATCTGGTTGTCCTGATGAACCAGGTGGTTCTATTTAAAATTTAAAACAAAACAAATTTTTAGAAAAAATATAATTAATCATAATTAACATACTGAATGGAAGTTTAGCCGTAGTTGGTGCTGTTGAATGTAACGGCTCACCAGTCCCATTTTCATGTCCATCAAGTAATGATGGAACAGTAAATGTTGTTTCTTTACATGCTTGTGTAACTGGAATCAAAGCATCGGCTCCTTTTGATGTATCACGTCGTTCAACAACATAACCAGTTACTTTACTACCACCATCATCTTTTAGTGGTTTCCATGAAAGTGTTGCACGATCTTTCGATACATTTGATATTTCAAGTGGACCAGTTCGAGGAAGTGGTGGTGCTATTATAAAAATAACAAAAAAAATTTAATCTTAAGTTTTATAATAGTTTTTAATCATACTAATGATTTTAACTTTCAAAGGAGCATTGCATGATCCTGAATTATTTGTAACACTGATTGCATATTTACCGGCATCTCCTCGTTCAGTATCTGAATAAGATTAAATACAACAATAAAATCATCAAATTCTTAAATATGTGCACGATCACCATCAGTTAATGATTGATCATCTTTTCTAACTTGAAATTTAAATGGACCTTTTCTACTAATAGGAATTTTAACTTTTAATGTTTCACCCAAATGCAACACGTTGTTCTTCTGGTTCACGTGTAAGTTTAGGTGGTGCTAAAAAAAGAGATAATAGATAAAATTAAGTAATAATGAATTCAAACTCTAACAAAAACATACTTTTAATATAAAATCTTTGAATTATTATTACTATCCCGAGCTTCATTGAATATTAATGTAGATTTCGATTCATTTGGTTTCATACTAATGCGATAACGACCAGATGATGATATTTCTAAACCATTCAACCTCAGATGCTGGATTAGCATCAAATTCAATTGTAAATGTTGCTTCACCATTAGGAAGTGCACTTGTATTTGTTAATTTTTTAACAAATGTTGGTGCTCGTCCATCTAAATATATGATATGTCAATATTTTAATTTAAAAACAAAATATTATATTACTTGGATATTCAGTTATTTTAACTCGACCACTTATTGAACTTGGTTCACTTTCACCAGCTTTATTATTTGCTTTAACACGAAATTCAACTTCACCATTTTCGGGTAAATCAGTTATTACAGCATTATTATCAACTGACATATATGGTGAGGCTTTAACCCATTGATCAGTACCAGCTGGTCGTTTTTCAACAACATAACCAGTTATTTTTGAATCACCATCATTTGTTGGTATTATACATGCTAATTCAACATAATTTTTGCCAACTTGTTTCACTTCAGGCATATCAGGTGATGATGGTGCAACTTGAACAAAAACGAAACGAGCATATTTTCCATTTTAAATAAATTTTTTACATACCACTATCAGATTTAAATGTAACTGGTCGATCTAGTTTGGTATATTCTTCCCAACCAGCAGCACTTTTAGCTTTAACACGAAATTCATATGGTTTTTCTCTTGAAAGATTATCAACTGTAAACTCATTTCCTTTGATTGAATAATCATTTGCAATTTCCCATACATTACTATTTGGTTTACGTATTTCAACTTGATAAGCAGTTACTTTTGAGCAACCATCATTTTAAGTTTATCCCATTTTAATGTCACTGAATTTTCTTTTTGTTTTCCAACTTCAACATTAGCTGAACCTTGTGATACATCTAAACATAATCAACAAAAATATATATTTATCGATTAAATTTTGTTTCAATAAAAACTTGCCATAAGGATTTTTTGCAGTAATTGGTTTTCACATTCCAATAGTATACTTTGTCCATAAAGATTTTCAGGCGAAACACGAAATTCATATTCTTCACCATCAACAAGACCAGCAACAGTATATTCAGTACCTGAAAGTGGGTATTAAATAGAGTCTGGATGTAGTAATTTTCGATCGTGTAATGAAAAAACAATATATGGAAAAATACGATCGTTAAATAAATCGAGGAAAATTCCAAATAGAAAATAAACTTATACTGTTGGGAGACGTTGCAGTTGCAGAACGAAAGAGAAAATAAATATTATCTATCATTCGTTGATATAGTAGAACAGAAAAAAATAGAGATGAATGATACTATGGCATATTTCTATTTCTATAATTTCCTTTTCACTTAACTTATTGGAAATAAACTTTATCTACTAATAGTTTCATTAGATTAATAATCTACTCATTAAATTTACTGATTTTTCGAATTTTTCATCAACTGACCATTTCATTTATTCTATTAACCACTTAAATGGTAGACAAAAAAAACTGTCTACATAATTCTATTGTTTTATAGAAATAAGAAAATATCTTCATAGAATAATAAAAATCGAACAGAAAGATATAGTTATTCAATAACCGAAGATAATGAAAAAAGTGATTGAAAAGTTAATAATCATATACACTTTCTCAAGCGAAAACAAGTAAATCAAAGATGGAAGTAAACACCTAGATTATATATATCATTAGTATTTCATTATATTATAACTCTTCATATCTATTAAAAAGATCCTTTTATTATAATTTTATCTATGTTATATTCTTCTCAAACGAATTTGAACAAAAACAACAAGGTGTTCATAAACATAAAAGAATATACAAAAAAAAACAAGAATACGTACGATAGGAGTAAATGTGAAACTGTCAAATAATATTAGTGTTCGTACTTGTAAAGAGTGACTAATACTTTATATTCGGAATATCTCTATTTCTTCTTTTCTCTTATTTAGTAAACAAGTAATATATATGTACAAATATGAAACGACGATAGAAGTAAAGTCATGATGAAGTGTTGATCGAGATCAGAGAAAAGAATTAATCTATTATATCGAAGATATCAGAAGAATAAATGAAAGGATCGAAAGATCGAGGCATATATTTTACTATTTTACTATCATACAAGCCAACAAAAAAACTAGTATATGCTTGAATTAAAGTTACTTTAGATATCGTAAGATTGAATGATAATAATATAGAAGTTTCATCAAATAAAATACACGAGAAAATATTTCTCTTATTATAAATCTTTGAAAAAATTTTTTATCTTAAATTATAATCAGCACGCATCAAATAATAAAAATTGAATATTTTGTGTTAAAATAATTATTTGATAGATTTATATTTAATTGAGTTGTTATTTCACTGGATACTTATAAACTTGTATGACTTACTAGTTATTTTTATGAGATCTCGATTCATGGAACTTTATAGAGAATAAAATGATGTATTTCTTAAATATAAATGAAGCCGAAAGGACACATTGTCGGAGATATTTGAAAAATACTTAGACCGTCATTCTTCATGGGCCACTCTTTATATTCAAATAGAAAGTATTTTATTTTTTAATTATTTTTATATTTTTCTTTTTGACAAAAAAGATGTATTTAAATAAAAAAAATTTGTCTATTAAACAATTGAAATTTCGAACTTAGTTTTTCTCTTCAATTTTCATTTTTCAATAAAATAAAGCAAATTTGATCTTTTCTTTATTTTTCTAATTTTTTATTTTTATTTTTAATATTTAAACGGAAAAATAATTTTTTCTTCTAAAAAAGATTTTCTTAATCTAGTTTTTCCATTTTGATAGATTTTATTCTTATTCATTTATGGTTTTTCTTCTCTCGCCCCTTTCTCTTACTAAATCATAAAATCACAAAAATAAATCTAATAAAAAAACAGTTTCTTTCTATTTACAAGTTTCTTTTCTTAATTTAAATATTTTTCTCAATTTGAAAAGTATTTTATTTGATTTTTCTGTATAAATAAATTTTTTTTAATTCAGTTTTCTTTGAAATTCTTTTAGTTTGATCCATTCAACACATTTTGTTTAAATTATTTTATTGCGTATGGTTTTTAATTTAAAATTAAAATTAAAAATAGATATTTACTTTTTTTGTCTAAAAATAAAAAACAAATTTATTTATTTTATTAAAATGAATTTTATTAATTAATTTTTATTTATTTTTGTTGAAGATTTTCATAAACTTGTGTTTTTCGTATATTTTCAAAAATAAAAATCGCAATTTTATCAAATGAAATTAAAAGTATTTTTAATGTCAAATTTTTTCATATTTTTGGATTCGATGATTCCGAAAATCAGCAACATAAAGATTTCCCTCGTCATCAAAAGATAAACCACCGGGACCATCCAATTGATTTGATTGATGTCCTTCACCATTTCCACCAACAACAATTTCACCTTCTTCTTTTCCTTCACACCAACGCATTATTCGATGATTCAGTTCATCTGCCACATAGATTTGACCCAAATGATCAATCATGATTCCTTGTGGTTTGGACAATTGATTGAGCTTTTCTCCTTTACCATTTCCTCCAGCCACAATTCTTCCTTCTTTTGCATCTCTTCTCCATTTCATTACACGATGATTGTCTCTATCTGATGCATAAACAGATTGTTCTTCATCAACAAAGATAAAATTAGGGGAATGGAGTTGATTGAGTTGTTCTCCTTTTCTATTTCCACCTGCCACGATAATTCCTTCATTGTTATATTCACCCATTTTCCATCGTCTCACTTCATTCTTCTTATGATCAGAAACATAAACATATCCATATTTATCCATTGCTAAGCGAGAACAGTCAATATTATCAATGAGAATTTGTTGATTTTGATTCAACCATTGAATCACTCGTCTGTTACCCCAATCAGCAATGATGATTGAATGATTTTGTTGATCAACAATCACATCTGTTGGATTATTCAATTGATCCATTCGATTTCCTTGCCCATTTCCACCTGCAATGATTTGTCCTTCATTTGCATTATATTTCCATTCAACAATGCGATGATTTGAATAATCAGCAATGAAAATATTTTTCTTTTTATCAATAAAGATTCCGTGAGGATACTTGAGTTGATTTAATTTATATCCTGCTCCATTTCCACTGAATGTATTGACTATTTTCGAAAGGAAAAATGTCCAATGCTAAATATCAAAAAGAAAATTTTGAAAGTCAAAAATGTTGAAAACTTCGAATATGGTTTAAGATAAAATGTTAGTAAAGTTGATGTTATGAAAGTGCTAGAAAGAAGATTGACTGGTGTGCTAAATAATCAACAAACACGAGACGCAACTATTATATCGCTAAAAACATGCAAAATAATTTTTTTTTTATAGAATATAAAAAGTCATTTTAACGGATAGAAACAAGATACATCAATTAATATTAGCCTTTCTTGAAAGAAAAGGAATAATTAAAAAGATTAAAAATTTAGCTAATCAATTCTAATGAATAGACTAATTAGTAAAAGAGATGACAAGAGGAAGATTACATATATTTAGTTGTATAAATACTGTGATGTATCAAGTTGTAAACATCTATTTATTCTCTTACATAATTATAAATAAATTATTATGGCTATTCCAGTATCATTTATTACAAGCAATAAAGGTAAACCATTATTAGTTCATAAATAATTATTTATTATTATATTGTTATATTAATTTTGTTAAACTATTGTTTAAATAAAACGATTAAAAATATAGTTTTACCTATTGTATATTTCTGACAATAGTGACACTATCAATGTCTTACTCCTGTCGTTTTTAAACTTTTCGATATTTTTGGTTTTCAACATTTTTCCTTTCTACACTTTTCCTTTTCGACATTTTTACTTTCGACCAAAGTCAGACATACCTTTGTACCAGCCACAGTGATAGCATCTTGTTTCCATTTATTGAATTTTGATTCTAGGAAATAGTGAAAACAAAATACTTTAATAAAAAAAAAGAAAATTTGTTTTTAATCCAAGAAAAAAGAAATTAAAAATTTGAAAGAAAAACGAATTTTTTAGAAGATTTATCGATAAAAAAGATGGGTTTATTTAAAAAATTTCAATAAAACAAAATATTTTAATTCGAAATAAATTTTATCTTATAATTTTTCTTATCAAATCAATATTAAAATAGCAGAAAAGAACTAGAATAAGATGATTTATGAAATAAAATAAGAATGAAATTTTTTTTCATTTTTTACTCAATTAAAGAACTTTTTCTCTTCGAGAACTTTTAAAATCAAAATGAAATAATTCAGTTTTTCAAAGATCCAGATTTCTAACAAATGAAAATGTCTTTTTTTTCTTCTAAAAGAAACGAATTTTATTTTATTTCTTTCGATTGACAATTTTCTTCTTTTCTTATCACAATTACTGTTTTACTTTTCTCTTTCCACTTTTCACTTTCGTTTAACTCAAATAATTTCATTTGATTATTAAACTATTTGCTCAATAGAAATTATTTTCAAGCTTAGATTTTTTCGATTAATTTTATTGGAGAAAATCTCAAATGATTCAAAGTTAAAATTTTTCTAGCATTTTCAATTAATTGATTTTCGTCTTCTCATTTATTTATTTGAAAAAAAACGAATAAAACGTTTCTTTATCAAAACAAAACACATTAAACATTTATTGTCAGTCCAATAATCTTCTAAACAGTATTATCTTTGTTTGTTTGTTAATCTTAATAAACCCTGTTCATTAAGAATAAAAAAATCAAAAGAGAACATTGTTTAATCTCATTAGAGATTGTTGAGATTATTTTGTTTTTGATCATGACTCTAAGAGAGTCATGAAAAACTCAGCCATTGGATTAGTATGATCTATTATAAAATAAACTAATTCTATTGGTAATGTACAGTCTATATGAATTGCTGCCAATTGAAGTTGTTCTGTATAATTTCCTTTCATTTTTAATATAAAAACCAACATCTTCTATTCTATTAAACTTCTTGGCAAGTTTTCTCTTACAATATTCATGTTTTCATAAGTCTCTATAAAAAATTATTTGAAAAGTTTTTCTTATCTGTAGAAAATTCTCTAGACTCTCCTTAATTTTTTTGCAAAGTTTCAATATCTATTAGTAGGTATGTGTAAGGATCTTTTAATCACTTAGATTGAAAACATACTGCACTCTATGAATATGTTTATTTCCTGACTACGTCATAAATGAATTACGAAAACAGATTCTACAGAAGTCAAATACCATAAATACTCGTCTTGCATTGTAGACAGAAAATTTTTCATCGCTATCTTTACATTTTTCGGCTTCCATATGGATCTTCCAAATTGTCAATTACGAGTGTTATTATAACTTTTATCAGAATTAGTATGATTCTATTAATATTTTCAGAAAAAAATGTTGGATAACAGCTAAATGAATGAGCTGATAAAAGACTGAAAACAGATACAACTTATGTCACAATATAATCTCTCATCTCTGAAACTATAGCTTATTACTTCGTGAAAATTTTTGTAGTATCCTTCGAATACTAGGTATATCTAATCAAAATAATAACAAGTGAAAATGGTGTATTTGATAACATTTTCAAAATAATCAACTCTGATTTAACGATCGATTCCTATTAGATTTTTCTAGCTGATAATTACTATCATTAGAAACAGACGATTGAAAACGCAAATACTATTTTCTGTGGACAAATGCATCCCTAGTCATTTTATCTGAAGATGATATAAAGAGTAATTACGAAGACTTTTATATCATTTTCATTACAGATCTCCTCATCCTTGCATCCCACTGACGAGATATTCAACTAAATATTTGATCCTTTGAAATAAGAACTGTGCCGAAGATCTATGGCAAAATTTTATTATGAATGTAGTTCGACTAGAACATACCTGGTAATTCATTAGGTTTTGTTATTTCGTAGGCTGGTTTTGGTAAATCCTTGGTTATATAACTAGCATCATCTTTGCTGTTGTTAATCTTTGGTGGAACCGGAACAACTGTTGTTTGTGCTACGTCTTCCTCTGTAAAGCCTATGGATAACAATCAGAAAATAGAAAAAAAGAATAAAGTTTTTCGCACATAGTTCAGTAAGTTATTTAAAAATCAACAAAAAATAATATTGTTTTTCAGCTCGGTGTTTCTTCTCTTCTATAATATATTCTAGTATATTTCTTCATCAGGTAAATCATATATATTTTTCGGAAATTAATAAATTGGAACTTACAATAACTAACATTATTAAGTCACATATTTATATAAAAGTAAATAGAATTTCTTATCTGTTCGAGATTTAAATCATTGTTTTTTATTTATTATTACGTTTTAATCCTTTGAGGAGGGGGTTTTTCCTGTATATTTTATCATAAAGCAATCAACATTTCTATTTTCTAAAAGAACTTTATAAGAAACGTGTGTTTAGAAGTTTTTTAAAGTGTGATATAGCTCAAAGCAAGGTACAATACATAAACCAATATTACAATCAACACACAGTCTCAATTCAAACTATACCAAATAATTCCCTGATAAATGCTTTCACAAAAATTAAGCTTATATTGGAATCTGTGTGTTTTGAAATGCTAGAGAATCACCATAGCCTTTTAGGGGACCGACTGTCTCCAGAAGGTTAATAATCTCTATTCCTATTGTTCTAAATAATAATATTCTTTGCAGAACCCTCTGCCTCAACTGGTATATTTAGTACACGAAATTTATTACTAAACTCAATTAAAAAGCTCTTATTGTGATGCTCTTTATAACAGTATCTTTTTTATTTTTCTTGCTACTCACTGTCATATATGTTCAACTGATCCTATAAAATATTGAAAAGTTGGATATTATTGTAAGAGACATATCAGGATAAGTCTGATGTCGAACACAGTGAAATAGTATTTCAATATGTATCAGAGTTGGCAACTGTTTCTTTCACTTCGTTCAGTCCTAACATACAAATGATCGATTCTTTTTGAATATATATCGGATCATGATGCCCATAGTATTACTGAAAATGCTGTCTATATGGTGAGTTATGAATATCTGGCTAGTACTATTTTGAATATATCTTATTTTTAAGATTGTGATGCTTTTTAGAAAAAAAGTACTCCATAATTATGTGCAAAGATTTAAGCATATGTAGAATTTAGCTAGGGATCTTATGAAAATTCACTCTTTGAAAAGTGAACTAGAATCATAACTTCATGACTCGTAAGTAGTTTTCTAACAAATTGTTCTATATTTAAAATTTTATATTTCTGCGGATGAAATAGTTTTTTCTCTTACTCGGTAATGGTTGAATTTGCACAGAATGATTTGTAGCCGGTTGTAAAAGAGTAATTGGAGGTTTTGTTTCTTTTAATTGAATCATATGAAGGCCTGTTGCTGGTTGAAGATAAGCTACTACAATAAACTGTCGAGCAGCCAGAAGAAGAACTTCTTTTTCCTTTTGATAATATGAATAACGACTGATATCTTTGCCACTATCACATTCAATAGTAAATAGTGTTCTTTGGCCAGTTTTGCCTAAAAATTGTTCGTTTTCTTGGAATACTCCTATCGATGTTGTGCATGAAGAAAACCCCCACCAGACAAATGTTTTCCCTTCAGTATATTGATTAGTTAGATCTAAATTCACTCCACGAAACACATGACATCGTGTAGATGGTAATTTTTCGAGTGCTGTAAGAAGAAGTTTTAAATATGAAAACCATGGTTTTAATCTTCGTCTGTCTTCACTGCGAAGAGTTGCATTGAGGACAAAATATAAACATTCTTCATGTGGTTCCCATTCCATCGAGTAAAGCATGATTGAAGCTGATTCATCTTGTGTTAAACCATTGGGAGACATAGATTTACATCGTTGTTTCGCAACATAAACATTATCTTGAATTTCGGGCAAAATCGAAATAAGTGGTGCAACAGCTTCCTCCAATGATACTAATGGCATTTTTTCATACCCTTTAATTGGCATGAGCATCTCTAGAGGTTCTTTGATAATATCCGATATACGTATATACTGTTGTGGGTCAATATTCTCACTTGTAGTCATGTTTGTATGAAAGAATATTTTCGAATAACAAACACAATAATTAATCTAGAAATAAAATAAAAGTTTGTTCTATAAAATTAGCATCATAAATGAATTTAAATAAACTATTTATGTGGCGGACTTTTCAATCATATTCATGTGTATTAATTATAATGATAAGACATAAGTAATAAGACTATGAATCATTTCATTTTATTTGAAAAGAATATGTGCGGCGTTTCGTTCTACCTAAGAATATCATCAGACACATATAAGTAAAAGAAAAAGTTAGATAGCGTAATACTAGTATGTATGTGTTTTATCGAGACAATCCAATGCAGATGACTCATCTTTCCCTCCTTACGTTTAAATGTTTGGAAAAAATACATACATACTAGTATATATATATACTTTCTAATTTTTTCTTTCACTTATATGTGTCTGATGATATTCTTAGGCAGAACGAAACGTCGTACATATTGTTTCTAAATAAAATAAAATGATTCAGTCTTATTACTAGTGTCTTATCAATACTTAAATCCATAATATCAAATGATGTTCATATTATTAATTATAAATCTCAATAACGTGATTTGTAGAAAATACATTCTTATGCTATCGTATTTTTTTAATAAAACGGGGGTGTGGGTGACCAGAGGATAGGGTGTAGATGTCGATATTGAATCATTCTACACACATATCCATAAAATTATTGAATAAACTTTAAAAGTAGAACAGAAGTATGATATGCATTACGAATTTGATTCGTATATATATATTGATGGTTTAAAAATACAAATGGTTCCGTCAATAAAAAACAAAGTTAAAATGAATTAGTTTTTAGTCTCGATCCATTTCTGCTACACTTGTATCATAAGTTCTAAACTAACATCTCATTGATCATCAAATCTTGTGAATAACAAAAACACGATTCATTTCAACAGTATTTTATTATAACAAAAACTTTAATTGTCAATATCTTACAAGAAAATATGTATCTATTCAATAAACTTTACCAATTATCATTGTTGTCATGCACAATATTAATTCTTGTTCATCTCCGGATATGTCTACCAACAATAACGATTAAACAATATTGGTACAACAAAAAGAACGGATATTAAAGATGTTATGTCAATTTATTTTTACTCTGTTTGTTTTTGTCAATCTTATTTTTCAATTTGCTGATTCTATTAACAATGCCAAACATGTTTCTTATCTTACTGTTTACAATAGAGAAGGAAGACTTGCATCCGTTTTTTTGTTATAACTGGAATAAACAATTGTGTAAAAACCATTTTTTTGTTCTCTTCATAACTCGTTAATGTTCAGATTGAATAGACATTTATAAAAAAAATAACTAGCTATGGTATGTATTCAAAAACATTCTTGAAATAATAACAAAAAAAATTATATTTAATTTAGGATTTTGATACAATTCGAAATCATTATGGTATTTTAATTGTTCTTAGTACATTTATAAGTCGAATTATTTTTAATGGTTTCTGTTGGAGTTATGGAACAGTAATTGCTCAGCTTAAAAAAAAACATTTAAATATATCCGATACAGAATTAAGTATATATTAAACTTTTATTTTTATTACATAAAATCTAAATAAAATATATATCGTTCAGGTTTGATTGGTAGTATTGGACAAAGTTTTGGTGGTCTTCTTGCTCCATTAATTCTTTTCTTAGCTCGTCGATATGGTTATCAATTAACATTTATTTGTTCACTTCTCACATGTGTTATATCATTATTTATTTCATCACTTATTCATAATCTTCATTGGTTATTAATAACTTATTCATTACCATATGGATTTGCTAATGCAGCTATATTCATTCTTGGAACATTAATTTGTGGTCATTATTATCCAGTTAATCAACACATCAAACATATTTCTATAATGTGTATTATATCAACAGGTTTTCCAATTGGTTATCATATAATGAGTGCTTGGGTATTTTCATCCATTGAAAAAAACGAATGGCAAGTAATGAAAAGACATCTTGCTTTCATTGAATTAATTGCTACTTGTATACTTGGTCCTATTTTTACAATGAAATATTCATCCGATATACCATTAGAATATCAACGTCCATCGATAACAGTTACACAGAATAATAATAATAATCGAAAAAGTCGTTTTTCATTACCAATTATTGTTTGGTTGATAGGAATATTTACTACAATGTCAGCAGTTAATAATTTTCTTCTTCATTTGGTATGTTAATGTTTTACAGTTCGAAATTTTTTACTTGTAAATTTAATGTTTTCTATAGGAAAGCTATTTGAAATATCTTGGTTTTGCCGCTGCTCGTGCTGATCTTTGGTTTCGTTTACATGGTTTATTTGATGCATTATTTCGTCTTTCAATTCCACTTTTTATTCATTTATATCCCATCAATATAATTTATCTATTTCCAACATGTGTTTTTACTGGTTTTATCTTTTTATTATTAGCATTCGGTTTGCTTTATACAAGTATAAATGCATTAGCAATTTTACCAATAGTTTGTAAGTTAATTCTAAGAAAATACATATATATATATAATCGATTTCTATATAGTATTTAGTTTTACATCCGCTGTTACAACATCATTACAATACACGGTTTCAAATCAATTATTTGATAAAGATGAAATAGAGCAAGGATATATCTATCATGTAATTATTACAAGTCTTGGTTTAATCTTAGGTCCAATTATTGGAGGTAGAGTCAATCTTCATTTGATAGATTATGAGAAATAATTGTTTTTTCTATTAGGTTTATTTCTTGATTTAACAGGAAATTATAAATCAATTATGTTAATATCGCTAATGTTTCTTCTGATTAGTTTTATTTCATTTGCTTTAACAATTTTATTATCGAATAAGAAGGAAGATACTCATCAATCCGAACAAAATTAATATTGACTATGCTTAATTATTTTTGTGAAGATACTGGTACATTTGATAATTGTTTAACACCTGTATCTACACTAAAATTAACTTGAATAGGTGTTGTTGTAGTAGTATTAGATGTCGGACATGCGCATGAATCTTTTGTTGTTGATGGAGATTTTGTACCACATAGACAATTACAATCTAAACCATATCGTGGTTTTGATAGATCTTTAACTAATTGTTTAAATTGTGAATGATCGATATTACATGCTAATGAAGGAATATAACGTTGACGAACACCACAACATGTACAATCACAATCAAGAAAATGAAGTGTAAATTTTTCATCTTTTTGTTCAGTCGACATATTTTGTATTAGATATATACAGAAAATAAGAAAAAGATATAAAGTAGAATTAGCTTCTTTATATATTAAACGCGCTAGAAATAATTTCTATTGATTTATTCAAGTTTTCTATCAGTTAATAAATATATATTGTTTGTACAATTTGAATTTCTCATATAGGTATCTACAGTCTCAACATGGGAATTACAAACTAATATAATAAGAAATGAATATTCCAAAAGATTTGTTCATCAAAAAACAGTTAGATTAAAATAGATTTGATCTAATATTCTTAATTTACCTAAGTTGATGAACGCTAATATTTGTTCTTGAGAGTGGATATGGATATGAGTGTGAAATAATAATGATGCTTTCAAAATTGCTGAAGATCCTCTCTGCACCGTATCATGTATTCACGAAGAACAATGAATGGAATTTGTCGTTGGCTTTTTAAAGAAGAAAAAAAATATTAACTCTAGCAAGTTCTGATAACTCGAATCATTTTTCTCTTTTGTTTATAAAGTTTTTGAGAATAATATTTACGATGATATAACTCTAAATGAAAAATAGTTTTCAATTAAAGGATATTTATTTATAAGATTAGAGCAAGATTGGAAAATGAAAAGTGATGATCAAATTAGGACAATGATATTTTGGATCGATTTTCTAAATGATCGTATTAAAGAGATAGTTTCTGCATATTCGAATCATATTTGGTTTATCAACGACCAGCATAAGCTCCATAAGTACCACTACCAAGACTGCAACACAATGAACAATCATTACTACTGCCACTAATGTAACCATTGTCAGCATCATAGACACATGCCATGTAACCACTACCATCATGAGCATAATTACCACAAGCGATATGATAACCTGATGAAGCACGATATCCTACGCATGTACCATAAGTAGAACAATTACAAGTAACAGCCGTTACCGCCGCTGTTGTTGCTTTTGATATTGTAGTCGACGTTGTTGTTGTTGTTGTTTTTGACGTTGTGGTCGACGTTGTTGTTGTTGATGTTGTAGTTTTTGTTGTTGTAGTCGATGTTGATGTTGATGTTGATGTCGTAGTCGTTGGTTCTATTTTTAAGAGAAGTAATATAGAATTCAAAGAAAAAATTAAATACATTTTGATTATTATTGAGCTGGGTCTTATCTATATATTATTTCTCTAGTATCTAATGGATTAAAATGACTCATAAAGATATTAGTACCATTCTTCTTGTTTGATAGTAATACTATAGGGCTTCTTATTAGAAATCTTTCGGATAAAAATTAAGGAAAAGGGGAGTTTAAAGGAATCAGAATCAGAATGAAATTGTAGTTCGGTGAGTGTGATAGAATTCACGATTGAAATGAATTGATTTAGAATCTCTAATCCATTGTATTTAATATGTACATAGACTGACTATGTTATTCGTTAGAATTGATCTGAACAAAGAAGAATGTTCCCTAAAAGAATATCTTAATAGATTTTATATGTGTACTAGCCTGGTGGTGTTCGAGTACCAGTTATGACAATCAGAGTAGTAACGTCCACGTTAGCTAACATATTATTCAGTTGGTTTTGTATGTAAGCAAACATTTCACAATTAGAAGTTGATTGATAAAAACTGGCCGCTTGACAGTGTTCGTAAGCTAAACAAGTTGTTTGGCATTTGAGAATACGTGATGCAGGAACAGTAGCAAATGGTAAACAAGTCGTATTAGAACATTGAAACTGCCAACCTTTTTTTACAGACATTTGATATGAACGTATATCTTGTTCGATTGATTGTGAAATAAACAGATAAAGAAGAAACAGAAACAATCTGGTAGAAGCCATACATAACAAGATTTTCTGTCAATGAAATGAAACACAAACAATTCATAGTGATAAACATCGTTTCATTTCTCTCTTTTTTTTACACTTCACGACTGTTGCATTCCATCATTATAATGAAAAGATTGTTATAATTTTCTTTTTTTCTGTAGCATTAACAAATGAGATTACATTTTGCATTCTTGTTTGATGTTGAGAATAACAGAAGCGATATTGAAAAGAAAATTAATATGTTGCTATGAATAAAGTTATTAGTAAAATAACAATCTATTATATGAAGTTTCTTTCGTTGCGTAAACCTCTAGGTGATGAATTCATTCTTCGGAAATGTTTTTAAGATTTTCCCATCTAGTACAGCAAGTTGCTTCCATGAAATCTTCTGTGTACTATTCTACATGGGACATATAGTATTATCAAAGAAAAAAACGATTTACAGGATTTTTAAGTAATTTCAATAATTATCTGTCATAAAAAATATTGTAGTCATTTGGTATAGTGCAAATACCAAGTCAATATATTTTTTTCTTCCTTTTCTCATCTCCGTATCGTTAACTTCAGACAGATGTATAACGAAGAGCTCTTTCAAAAATACTTTAATTATTTTTCAACACAAACGGAAAATAATATATATTGTTAGACAAAATAAATGAAAATAGTCTTTCAATCTGTTATATGTTTGATGCATTAAAAAAAAGTTAAGTAGCAATAAATCTTGCTAGTTACTCTCTTTAAGTTTAAATATTTAACTATTTTTTATACTTTCGTTGACACCGAATGTAACTCATGATTATATTCTACTGTTACTATCACAGTCTCAAGATATGGCATTGTCTTATTCATTTATTGACGTCTACAAGTAACATATGCAATATGTTTTTTCTTATCAATCGAAATTACATTTATTTATTAATTAGTTTTGGTTATTGGTTCATTTCACACTGCTGAGTTACTAATTGATATTCCAGGTAAAACGTTTACTTTTCAACCTTTATCGTACTCAATTATCAATAGTTATATAATTGATTACATCACAATTGAATTGCAATATTAAAAATTTCATTTAAAATCCTATATCTTTAACAAATAATCATAAGAATAATATAAACAACAATTATTAATAGCGCAAAAAAAAAAGAAAACAAAATACAAAAAAAGTTATACATGAAACTGGTCTATTTTTATTTTTTTTTGGGTAAATTTTTTAATTCTGAATTGTTTATTTACTAGAAATAGAAGAAATTTTGATATTCACATTCATGTAGTATAGTAAACATTGTCATGAACTGGTTGTTGTGGTTGTGGATGTGGTGGTTGATAGGAATAATGTGGTTGTTGAAATTGTTGTTGTTGTTGTTGATGAAAATGTTGTTGTTGAAAATGTTGCTGTTGTTGTTGTTGTTGTTGTTGTTGCTGAATTTCTAATACAATTTGTTTAATATATTCTTCAGTCATAATAAATCGTTGTCCATTCATTGTAACTAAATAGAGATTTTCTCGACCATCAAAACGAAGACCACCAGTAGTTGAGGTATCATTCGATTGTGAAGGTGAAGTAACTCCATTAGCAAGAAGATTATTTGCTTCTTCATGCTCTATGGCTTCAATTAAAATGCCTTGTGCAGCCATCATTGGATAATATTGATTCATAAAATGTATATTTGGTTGTACTTGTGGATGTGCAGCATGAAAAAATTGTTGTTGTGGCATTTGGGGATGTGTCGGATGAATAGGATGTTGAGGATACATATAAGCATTCGGATATGCTTGTTGTTGATGATAATATGGAGCTGTAGGTGCTGTTGGTATTGTAAAAACTGTTTGACGTATGTGTGGATTGCTATAAATAAATGAATGAGGATATTGTTGTTGTGGTTGTTGTTGATAATTTTCATAGAGTGAATCGGAATCTGGTGAACGACTTAATGGTGGATCATCAGGTTCTTCAACAATTGGTTTTGTTGATGATGAATTACTTGTAACACTATTATGTTCATCTGTATCTGAATCAAGTTCAATAATTCGAGGATTTTGACGAGTTGTTGGTTTAGTTTTAAATAAGCTTTGACCAACACGAACTGAATTGAATTTATTTGGATCTAATTCTAAAATTCAATTTATAATAAATAATAATAAAACAATAGAACTTACTAATTAATCGTTGTAATGCATAATAAAGTATTTCACCTCCATCAGGTGAACGTCTAAGAAAATCATGTTTAGTCAATAATACTAATGCTTGACCTAAAAAGAATGGAATATATACATATATTCAATTAAATTCTTACCATTCATTTGAAATTTTTCCGTTGTTGCCTTTGTTAATTCAAATTTTCGACATTGATCTTCAACCCATCGTTGTACTTCTGTCGATGACCATTTTGTTACATCTTTATCATTAAGATTCGATAATTGATGTTGTACATTATCGAGAGATGATGATTTTATTAAAGAAGGTTTATTATTACCATTTTCCATCAACATTGAAACACAATGTGGCGTATTTTTTATTGGTGTTTCTTCGCTGTCAATACCTTCATTTGGAGTGACATTAACACGGAAACGTGTTTGTGATAAATATTCATAATAACCAGTTACAGGTAGTGATCTTAATCGATGACTAATCATAATAATAATATCAGAAAAAAGGTTTGGACAATATATATGAATTATTGTATATGTATATGTAAAATGGAGAAAGAAAAAAATGCACTAGATGCAATAAAATATTGTACGAGTGAGCAAGCACGAGTATACATTTATTTTTTTCTCACTGTCCTTATTGTACTACACTAAGTTAAATGATCGATCGAACGAAACAAATATAGAGACAAAATGAATATTCTTTATATGATTTTGTTTTGTATATCGTAACCATAATGATACGCAAATATGTTCTAATAAAACAAAAAATTTATATTAATTTACAATACAATTTTTTCAACTAAAATTGAACACGAAGAAGAAAAAAACGAAGATGATATATATTGTAGTAGTTTCTTTTGACTTCTGTTTGAAAAGAAATCAAAAGAATCATTCAAGCATAACTGTGATAAATGAGTGAACATATGAGTCGTTTCGTTGTTATACTCGAATACCGTATACGTAATTTATTTAAAAATGAAATTGAATTTTGATTTTTTTTTTATTATTTCTTTAATTATAATAAAAAAAAGAAATACAATTTTATCAAGCTACAGTGCAAACAGATAGAAGAGGACATTTATGATCTTTTGAACAATATGAAGGTAAGGCAAATATACTTGGATCAATAGCACCTTTCTTAAAACTAGTTATATCAAATACCATTAAATCATTAGGACGTTGATCAATTACATATGGTGCTTGAGTACTGTCAACTTGCCAATAGAAATTATCTTGTAAACCTTTTTTATCCCATACTTGATATTTAATTGAATCTGTTGTATTATATCCAATAAATGTTGAATCAGATAACCAATCAGGTTTTACAATACCACAACCACTTTCGGATGTACAACATGCACAACATGATTTTAATGATGGAAATACAAGATAACGAAGACCTTTTACAACAAGATGAGTACATGGTGTGTCTGCAAAAGCATGTATTGAACTACAATAACGATCATATTTGCCTGTTGAACGATCGATACGACTATTGAATAGATAGAAAGATAAAAAAATCAATAAAAAAATAAAATCTTACACAGCTTTTTGATCGAAATCATAATAATAAGTTCCTTTGATATTTGTACCTGTTCCAATTATTGGTAAAGTACTTGTTTCAACGAAGGTTTCTTGAAAGGCAACTGGCCAAACTGGTGCACTTGGATCAGCAGCTATAATTAATGAAAAATTTATATTGAAAAAAAAAACGAAAGAAATGATCAATTACCAGTAATGAATATGTTATATTCACTAGTCGCGACCACAATGATCAATGTAAAAATCAATTGATGACAATACATTTTATAATATATCAGTCTAATAACACAAAAAAAATGATTTATTGTATTCATCATTAAATAGTATATCATTGAGAACAAAAATACACCTGTTGTTGTGTATCATATGTTTAAATTCCCAAATTATTGAGTATAGAGAAAAAAAATCGATTTATCATGCTGATATTACTTTATGCGTATTATAAAAGGAACTAGGTCATTATTACAACTAAAAATAAAGTTAAAACAATAAAGTATGAATTTTACTATAGATGGCAGTTGTAATCAGTATGTTAAATGATGACATATGTTTGCTGGTTAGAGACATAACAACAGAACGTTTAATGGCGTTGTGTTTATATGCTCAAGATTTTAACACTTGATGGTGAATTTTTATACATCAATTGATTTTCACATAGAGAAAGAATGATAGCAACAATGAATCTATTTGGTTCTGTAGTACCAAATCTTAATACAACATTTTTAATTGACACGAGTGGTTCAATGTATTCATGTTTAGCTACTGTTCGTGAACATCTTTCCGCATATCTACGTGTACATGCAGTTGATATACCAAACCCACATCAAACATTACTTTTTAATTTAATAGAATTTAATTCCAATATACGTCGATGGGCTGATCGATGTGTATTTTGGTCACATCCATCTGTTGTTGTTGCTGATGATTGGCTTCGTTCATTAGAACCTAAAACAGGTACAAATACGTTAGGTGGTTTATTGACGACATTTGCTGATACATTATGTCAACAAGTTGTACTTATTACGGATGGTATACCTGATCAAGAACCACAAGTTATTATAAATTTTCTTCAACATCAACAACAAGAAAAACGTCCATGTCATATATTCTATATAAATACACCATCAAATACAGAACAAGAACAAGAAACTGTTGTTAAATTTCTTCAAGATTTAGCATTATTAACACGTGGTTCATTAACAATAGCACATTTCTCACGAACAGGTTCATTAGAAAGTCTTGCACCAATGATTAATTATCAAATACAAGATGCAACGAATCCTTTATTAGTACTTGATACATCATTACCTACCCCAATAGGTGGACCACCCATGGATACAGCTGTTTCATCCGAAATTGGAACACTTTTAATTGGACAAGAATGTTTAGCAAGAAAAGATAAAGATGGATATTATTATCGTGGTAAAATTCTTAACCAAGTAAGCCTTTTAATTCTTAAATTTATTTAAATTTATATTTTTTCAATTTTAAGTTAAATATTAATCAATTTATGATTGAATTTGGTCCACGAAGTGCTGGTGGTTTTAGTGAATCAGATTTTCAACCAACATATTTATTTGATATTATACATTATACAGATGCATTAATGCATAAAATTCAAACAGGAGATTTTGTTCTTGCTCCTGATGGACATGAAGGTCGTTTTGTACCTGGAGAAGTACTTGATGGTTTCGAAAAACGTGCTTCATGTGAAAGTAATTCTAGACTTTGTACCTTTTATATATTTTTGTCTATATTTTTATTTAAAGGTGGTGAAATTCGTCCATTAATTATTCATTTTGCAAATGGAAAAACGATTACAGTAAAAAGATTACAAGAAGCAATATGGATTCCATCTGCATTGTAAATAAATAAATTCTTTCTTTTTTTTTTGTTTTCTTATTATTAATTATTTTTAAGATATGAACGTATTAAATTTGAACTTACAATACCACCAACTGCTCGACAATTTCTTCAAAATAATTCAGTTGCTTATCCAACTAAACTTTTACCCGGTTATCCAATGCCTGCACCATTTCCAATGACTTCTGATCATTGGCCATTTTTTCTTCCAAATCAACAATTTCAAAGTACATCACCTGTTGTACTTGTTCCTCATCAAAATATACCAACAAGTGTTAATAGTCATGAGGTTAATAATCTTATTATGATTTCACAACAAAGACCACAGAGTTTAATGACAAGTGATGAACTTAATCGTAGAGTTGATGATCAAATTAAACAACATTGGTTTCTTCTTGATGAACGACCACCTTCTGTACCTCCACCACAATCATTACCACCACGTCCTCCTTCAACTTCATCTCATCATAACCATCATCATCCTCATCCTCACCCTCATCAACATTCACATTCAACTAATTCTTCACCAAGTCCATATTCAACAAGAAAGAAAAATGTTTGTTTCAATGATTCATCTTCTGTTCGACGATATTCTGTTGATGATCTTGATATGTCTCGTGAATCAACTCCATTGAAATCATGTCTTAAATCATCGATTGATACACATCAACATACTCATACACACACACCATCAACATGTCAAAAAACAAAACCAGATAGTAATGTTATGTCAAATAATATTTATCGATCATCATCAGGACCTATTTCAATTGAACATTGGCATGCAAGACAATTAAAATCAGCACCTGGTAAAATCTAATAAAATTTCTATAAACTAAATAAATAATTTCATTATAGCTCCTCCTCTTCCTCCCCCTATACCAACTACTTCATTAAATAATTCGGCTCGTCGACACCATTTAGGTCATTTATATGAGAAAGTATGTGAAAAAAAATTCTGTTAGTATTCTATATAAAATATATTTTCTAAAAGGCTCAACATGAAGTAAAAAAAGAACTTCATCAAGAACACGTTCAACGTGAACATTACAAACGACAACAAGCGAAAGAACAATCCCAGAGTATTCAAAATCGTCAACAACAAGAATTAGATAAATCTGATCGAATCATGGAAGCTAAACGACAACAACGTAATCAAATAATTCATCAAAATCATCAACGGTAATAGTACTAAGAATTAACATATTCAAAACTAATTTATCTCCTATTAGAACACAAGCAGTTGAAGAACAAGCGAATGATCGAATACGTTTTAAACAAAATCAATATGCTCAACGAAGTTTCGATACTACACAAGCACGTCATTCCAATGAACAAAAAACTACGAAAGATTCCGTATGTATCTATAAGAGGATTATTACATTTAATTATGATGTAATCTTCTATTTAGCAACGTCGACAACAAGAAGAAGCTCAACGTAATCAAGTTCATCATGATAATATACTTTGTCAAGAAGCTGATCGTTTATATAAAGATGTTGTATCACGTAAATTTCGTGAAGAAGCTGATTATAAAGCTCATGTTCGACGAGATCTTGAAGAAAAACGAACTGATCTTATACATGATATTGAAAAAAGACGAATAGCATGGTCAAATCCAACAATATTATCATAAAACAAATTCAATTTTGGTTTTTCTTCATATAAATAGATATATGTCTATCGTCTTTCTGTGCTGTATTTTATATATATAGTGGGATCATAGTTATATATATATCGCTTTTTCTATTGTTGTGAAATATGAAATGTTTACTATTTGATTAATAATAATAAAAAAAAAAACGCCAGAAAAGAAATAAATTTAACAAAAAGAAAAAAATGATGGCACAATATAAAGAGTTTATTTATTGTCCATAGACTGGATATGGTTGATAAGATAAAAATTGTGATTGAGATATACTATTATTATCATCAAGAAGATTTGTACTATTTGGATATTGAGCAAGTGCAACATAACACTTCATAAATAAAGCTTTTATACGTGAAGCAGATCGATGATCTGTACCGGTAATACGATGAATTTCTTGTTGAAGTATATTAACAAGTTTATTAAATTTACTATTATTTGTTGATTTATCTTCATCATTTTCTGTCATTGTTATAAATATTTGGAAAAGAAAGAGAAGAACAGGAAATGTATCCATTAATGATGCATCAGCAATAATTTGTAATGGATGACTATATTGATTTCTCCATATACGAACAGCATTCATATAAATTGTATGATAATTAATATTTATTGGAAGAATTGGTGGTAAATCAATAATACGAAGAAGACTTTCTAATGCTGATGAAGTTGATAATTGATCATATGTAAGATCACGAGCAAGTTGTTCAAGAAGATCTGTTATAGGTATTGTTGGAGTTTTATAAGTTGTTGTTTTAGTTGTTGTTGTTCGTGGTGCACGATCTTTAGGCATGGCTGTCATTCCAACTCGATCACATTTAGCTTTACGACATGCTCGACAATCTTTTCGATTCAATTTTGTTATATTTGGTAATGGAACTTCACAAGAATGTTTAATTTCAATACGTGGATCTATATATTAGAAAAAGAAAAAAGCTAATTGACAATGTGAAACGAATTGCTTGAGGTTCTCCTTTTTCTACTGATCAAAAACTAAGATGTAATCATATAATTATTTTTTAGACTCATAAAAAAAGGAAGTCTTATTGACGAAAGATTAAACTAGTCAGTCTTCTTTCTTACCTTTCGTCACTCGTCGATAGAATGCTTTGCACGATTCACATGTATATGCACCAAAATGATAGCCGGATGATTCTTCATGACATACGAGACATGGTTGTTTGCTAGCACTAGTACTACTATTGCTAGAGTTCGATGCTGATGTGACTAGAAAACGGACATCTCCTTTCTCTCACTTTTGTTTTTTGTACAAGCAAAAGAAGAAAAAAAAATAAAGAAGGGGGACAGATTGGCATCCATTTCTGGATGATGTAGAACACTACATACCATCGTGTGTACGCATTTTAATCATAGTCGAATCCCATTGTGACATTGTTGATTGATAATCAGGTTGAATATCAATACACGATGATGATGGTGATGAAATATATGATGAAGCAGGTGGAATAGTCATCCCATTTGTATTTGTATACATAGGATGAAGATGTTGATATGAATCTGTTGTTGATAAATATGTTGATGATGTATAATCCATTGATGTTGAATTATATGATGTTTGTGTAGAATATGGATCAACTGGATAATTATTGGTAAACATATGTGAATATGGATCCATTAAGTAAGTTGATGCTGATGCTGATGATGATGATACATCAGGTAATGAATTATAATCGTAATTGTTATTATCCATTGTATGATATTGATTTGGATTTGATGTATTATTAAAATCAAATGAAGATGGAAAATAAAATGATTGATTTATTGTATTACTATTTGATGATGAAGTTTGCCAAATATCACTGGTTGTTATCATATTACTATTAGATATTGTTGATTTAAGAAAACTAAAGAAAATATGAGTTATTTTTTTTCACATTTATTTCAATTAAATCTATCTTTTTTTTATACCTGTCTTGTGGTTGATGTGTTTGATATAAATGCATATTTTCTTTCGTTTCTAAACCATCAAAACTTGCAATTTCTGTTAATTCATCAACGAAATCGTATTGCATCCTCCTTTTTTAGGGCTTACTAATCTAGAAGAAGAAGAAGCAAAACATAAATCTACTTATCTATATTTCACTCATGAAAAGAATGATAATGATGACAAAGTGTGTTATAACTCCCCTTTTTATGTAACTAAACGCGTATATATATAGATAACAACAAGGAAAATACGAAAGAGACTAACTGAGGCATAGATGTCATGATATTTCATATCATAACAAAATGATTAACTATTCATTTTCTTTCGATTTTAATTATATGAACTGGTCAATATATACATATATCCATCCATTTCCAATGATGCACATGCTCTCATAAAGCGCACTTTATGTTAATCATGGGTGTCATATGTTTTTGAGATGTGAGATATACTCATCCATACATATATTGCACCCGTATGTTTTTAAGGACACTAGGCTAATGTGTACAAATAAACGATTGAAATCTTTTTCACTAGCAATGATCCACTTCAATTTTAGTTAATTATTCGTATAGATAGATAGAACGAATAATAATATAAACAAAACTAACTAAAGTTCAAATCTATTGTCTAGATCGCACGAAGTTCGAGGTCAATAAAATAATACGTGCGCATATCCAGATTCTCATGAAATTATCTCATACCTGTATGTGTCGGTCATCGAGGTTGTATTGATATTTTCTCTATTTTTTTTTTCTTCTCGAGTACGTCTCTATCTCGAGAATATTTTTTAGGATAATGCGATCGGACCAACTAACTCATTAACTTGAAACAAGATCAACACAGTCGCCAACGAATAACTCAAATCGAGACAGACGCATGCTATTGTTTTTTCTCTCCCTTTCTCTCTCTCTCTAAGAATAAACCAGACATAAGAGACCTCATACACTTACCTTCCTCTCTCTATTTTTTTCTCTTCTCCTCTGTCTGTTTGATGTTGGCCTAGTTTCAGACCCACCACCGTACAAGAGAAAAAATCATAAATAAGAAAAAAAACCGAAGATTGGTCGATTCATTTTACATAAACACCAATCATTGAATTTTATTTCTTATCACATTGGAAAAAAACTGAATTATTTTTTTATAAAATACTCGTGTTACAATCTTTACTGTTAAGTTAAAAGAAACTCTCATCATACAATATTGTTTCACATATTAAAAATAGAAATCTTTTGTTCTAACCGATCTTGTTACTTCATTGATTTTGCACATATATATATACAGAAGAAAGTTGTCAACATTATCGAGTCAATTAAATTGACACCTAACTTCATCTTTTTTTTTCAACTATTAATATTTACATAAGACAAATTGAACTTATATTATTACTACTACTACTTCTTTTTTTTTTCAATAATGTTTATATACATATATCAATTGAATTTAATGGTGCGCGCACACCACACACACACATGTTTCTATTTGTGTTATGTGACACCTCAGTGTCAGAATAGAAAGAGCAAGCAGCAAGATTATCATTTATGGTTAGGGAATAGATCCAATATTGGACACGAGTACATCAGACGATTGTCCCTTACTTTCACTCTCTTGTGTCCGATCAATGGATTTGATAAGCTTAACAGGTAAATATATTTTGAATGAAGTGATGTGGTTTTTTTAAACAAACCGACATTATATTGTATTTAATATCATTTAGATGAATATCACTTGATTATTGTATTTTACTCTATCTTATTTTTTTATGGAACTAACAAAAAGGAATATATATGCTCTCTAGTGGCCGACATTCTGTAAGTATATATATTGAATGCGAATGATATCACTATATATATATATATGTGGATTTATCAAAGGAACAAAAAAAAGCACATTTGTTGATTAATTGTTGTCATGTTCATTCTCTTGTTTCTTTTACAGACGAACAAAACCAGATATGATCATCAAGGAACATTCAATATGATACTTAAATCACTTATAAACAATACATCGATCATATATATATATGTACACCAAAGACATTCCAAATGTCAGTTTAATCTGAAAGTAAATTTAAATAAAACGATATAAATCTTCAATATTCATCGATGTAATAAATAAAATTGTCATATGTTCTATAATCTATATAGAAAGAACAATACATCAGCATGCAATGAATGTATAGATATTGGTAAATTTTCAAACATATGATGACATGACATATACGAACATCAGGAGGCTTATGACGAATGTTTTTCGCAAGTAGCTATATGCAAATTAAGTAAATGTTGATGGAATTTTTACTATTAATTCGTAATATTTTACGAATGAATTATTATTTACTATCAAACGTTCTTTATGAGAATATAATATTTTTGTTTAAAATAAAGTGCATAGATAACACACTTATACACCTTTTTTTTCGTTTTTGGCCTTGTAATTTCTACGATTGATTACTGTGCATTTTATTACTAATGAGTCAGAAAACGATGACCCATAATAATCATACCTATCATTCATTTTCTCTAGGTATTCAACTCATCAATTATCATATTAACCAATAACTAGAGAAAACAAAAAGGAGAGAAAAAAAATATATATATATAAAACCCCACAAAATAATCACCAATGTGGTTTTCTATAGACAATAATCTTACACATAATTTCTTAACATAAAACACAACAGTCTGACGTAATTATATTTGCAGCTGATGAAACTAGATATTGCAAATAAAGATAATTATTTAAAAATTCAATTAAGCATCTATTCCTTATTAGTGATAAGTCATTTTTTTAAGTACATTATTTGCAATATAAAAGAGTTTTCATGTTGAATCATTCATAAGATATATTACAAAATTCTTCTGATTAATATCGTAAGTGATACGAATACGAACTTGTGTCATATATATAAAACAATTAACCTTCGGGGGGCGTTGCGCCCTTCTGCCTTTGCAATTTTTACTTAATTTGGTCTTCATATCGAAAAAGTGGTTTTTCAGAAATATTTTATCAATGAATGCATACAAACAAAAATATCATGCTTTCCTATTAATATTATATCTGTACAACAAATTTTTTTTACATTAAAAAAAATCGATTATCATTTTATTTTTTGAGATGGTAATATTTAAAAGGAAGTAGTCTTATAAAACTATCTTTTATAATATTATTACACATACAGTTACTTTGAATATTTACAATCATCGTATTAAAAATAATATAATTTGCCCTTTTTCATATTCAGAATATTATTTTTATATATTATTTATTTTGTAATATTTAATACGATGAAAACCACATGGTATCTAATACCTCCGATCTGCATGATCGAATTGTCACCTGTTTGTTGTCAATGATAATTATTGGCTAGCTAAGAAAAAAGGATCGAATAATTTATTAGGGTATAAGAGAAAAAAAAGAGAAAAAGAATGTAGAAATAAATATTGTCTATAAACATATTGCTATTCTACACTCATTATTCATACATACAATGTTATATGACAAAACATTGTATCAATACAAACAAAGTAACTTTTTCTTTTTTTAATATATAGTTTTGATAAGAATTTATTTGATTATAATCTTATATATTAAGAGAAATGTTACAAAATTCGGTAAGAAAGATTTATATATATATCAATACATACATAATATGGTATTGATTGCAATTTAACCACATACTATTATTGTTCATTGAAGCGTAAATAAATGTATATAAAAGAGTGTATAGTTCACTTTGTTTTATATCATTGAAAAAGTCTATCACTAACCTCGCTTCTTCCTATGAATATAATAGTCAATGTTTTTCTTTCTTTCTTTTATATATTATTTTATTTAACCTTATATGGAAAAATATTAACTTATTATTTGATATAATATGACCTTTTTTTTATTTATAAGTATTTATAGATAGATAAATATAATGAATTGGTTACTTGACGATCTATGGTTACAAAATACTATGCGATGGTTTGTACCACCACCACCAAAACTAATGTTTCATGCTAATAATTCTTCAATGACTTCATTTTTCGATTATGTGAATCCAATTGTTGACCGATTAGTAAATATATTTTTTTTATTCTTCTCAATTATACTTAAATGACTTTTCTTTTCATAGTCACCAACAGATTCCGGTGATAATCTACTTGATTATTATGGTGCTTATACAAATCGAGCATCACGTCATCTAAATTCATTAAAAGCAAATAGAATAACAAAAACATTTCATTATGAATATATAACATTAAATTGTTTGGGTAAAGGTGGTTTTGGTCAAGTTTATGATGGTCGACGAAGATCAAATAATAATCCTGTTGTTATTAAATTTTTACCAAAAAATCGTATACTTAATTGGAGCATACTTGATAATGTATATTATTTAAAATGAATCAAAAAATAAATTCAATTTTTTTGCTTTTTATTTTAGAAAAATATTCCATCGGAAATTGAAATTCTTTCTCGACTTCGTGGTGTAGCTGGTATTATTCGTATAATAGAATATTTTGAAGAACCAGATCGGTTTATATTTACAATGGAAAAAATTCCCAGTTCATGTACATTGTTTCAGTTTGTTATGGAAAGTTCACCATTACCAAATACCGAATTATTAAGACATATATTTCGTGAACTTATTCGTATTAATATCATATTACAAAGTTATAGTATTTGGCATCGTGATTGTAAACTTGAAAATATACTTTATTGTAAATCTGATCGTACATTACATTTTATTGATTTTGGTTCAGCTGCTCCGGCACAACTCGATGATTTTCATGAATTTCAAGTTTGTTATTCAATCTTACTTATTTCATCTAATTTTTTTTTTCTTTTTTCTTCAAAGGGTACATTAGAAATTATGGTACCAGAATGGATTTCACAAAGACGTTATGATGGTGAACGATCATGCGTATGGGCATTAGGCATTTGTTTATATTTTCTACTTTTTCAACAATATCCATTTCGTTCAAAAGCAGCAATTCTTGGTGGCCGATCACAATTACCATTTACAAGTTCAGTTGATAAACAAGCATATCATACAATGAAACAGTGTCTACATTTGAATGAACATCGTCGTCCAAAATTAGGAAATCTTCAATATTTATCATGGCTTGATTAAAAAAATAAACACACAAAAAAATTGAATGATAATTAGAAGAGAGAAAAAATAAATAAATTTATTTATTGAAACAAAAGTTTATTTTATAGATTTGATCAAAGATGAAAAACTGGACCGTCAATTGAAACAATTCATTTTTTTTTATCTATCTATTTATATATATATATATATATGCGTGATCAAAATGAAATATATCATATTAAATTATATGACTATAAAAATTTGATCACAATCTTTTATATGAAAAACATATATGATATGATTCTCATTTTTTTCTCAATTCAGACTGTATCATATACATTATTTATGGTTAATAAATTAATCGATAATATTTTCGAAAGAAAACTCTATGTGACAGATATTTTTTGATGTGAAGAGAAATTCAATGATAAAAATAGCAATTTAAGATATTTCATAAGTTTAGAATATAATATTACTTTTTGATTTCTTTCTTATCGTACAAATAATCAATTAACGTGAATAGTTTTCATATTTATTTACGATATATATATACTTTTACTTTCGATCTAATATTTGATCGCAGAGTTAGATAACAAACATGCAAATCAACATAATGTATTCACTGAATATTTTATAGAAATCGAATCAAGATTTTTAATAGTTTAATGCAAACTGTATCTATAGGTAGATTTCTGTTAGAAAATATAACATGAAGTAAATAACGAAAATTTTGAGTATGTATATAGAAAATGTATGCGGATTTGTACTTGTTTAGAGGACTTTAAATGATAGTATCAATCATCATCAACATTCTGTCTTGTTTTTCCTTCAAACAGATTTATTTTCATTGCCTTATATGGTACTTTTTACCTTGTATTGTATAATAATTATATTTGCCCTTTACCTTTTTGCCCTTTTTTTATTTCATCATCATTGTTCTTGTTCATTGTTCTATTCAGCTATCATTTTATGACACGAACAAAATTAATATTTAATAGCTTGTCATTGACTTTTCAAGAATTATCGTATATATTTTTTTCTAAGCGATTAAAAAAAGTACGATAAATTTATTTTATTTTTTTCTTTTCAAGTTAGAAGAAAAAAAAACGCTTATAGAAAAATCAAACAAGTGTACCACGACAACTTGCACCAGAACAATCACCTGTTGGATATGTATCTGGAATAATTTGTGTGTTAGTTGTAAGTTCAAGTGCTGTACCATCTGGACCAGGAAAATTAGCTTGAATAAAAAAAGCTTCCCAACCACTCATTGGATTTGCAATAGTTACTGAATAAACAATAGTTGTTGGTGTTTGTGCCTAATTTTATACATAATTTAAAATTTATTAAATAATATTTTTTTACCTCAATGACCACATCTCCTTTTAACCAAACAACGGGATTAGCAATAGCTTTACCTGGATGATTTGGATCACCGATAACAAGACGAAAATCACGACTATTAAATGAAATATAGAAGGCTTTTATTTTTAAATAAATTCAAGAATTTTTTTAAACCGTTTATCATTGAGTGTACGAGCATGATAACTAAGAACACTAATTGGTTTTGGACCAACACTGAAATCAACTGTAGCTTGAATATAACCATGTGTATTGTTTGATGTTTTTGTCCATTTAAATGAAGGTAATGGTCGATTCTTTAAATGAAAATAGAAGAAATTTTTTTCTTAAATAGTAAAAAGATAATTTACTTACATCATAAATACTCAAATAGAAACTTCGCATTGTAAAAAAAAGACTAATTTCATGACCGGCACATGAATGTTCAGCATTTGGTAATCGTCTTTAATACATACATGTATAGATATTAAAACGAAATCTAAATTTTAACTACCTTATAAATGAACCACCTGTAGCTGTTTGTAAATCACCCCAGAACGCATCCTAGAAAAATAATAAAATTTAATAGTAATTATTAATATATATGCAATTAATTGTACTTCATTATCAGGTAGAAAAAATTCATCACCACCTGTTTGAATTTGTAATATTTTCATATTTTTATATCGATCAAAATATTCTGTTTAAAGAAAAAAATACATATAATATTGATCAATATCAAGCATAAGACTTTACTATATGGATCGATAATATCTCCCATTTTATTTAAATTTGGATCATCAACATTTAGTGTTATATTTAATGCATAATAATCATTAAATGCAAAAGTCCATCCATTTAAAGACTATAAAATAATTGTAAACTGATCTATTATTTTATAATAAATATATTTACTCGGAAATGATGATGCATATTCTATAATGACACAAAAAATAGAATTAAATTATTTAACAAAATTCTTTACTTTTTGAAGATTAAGAATATCCATTACAATGGGTACTGCTGCAACTACACGTACATTATCGACGGCAGCTGTTGTCCAAGCTAATTTAATTTTTTGTTTTGTTAAAAATAACAAAAAATGATAAAAACTTACTCGCCCATCCACGCTAGAATTCAAAAATATAATTTATAAGAAATAGAAAATAGGAAATTATTATTTACTTTCGAAGCACCACCAATAACGAATGTTTTTGGAACAGCAACACCTAATTTTCCTGCAAATTCTTGAACAGCATCCATAGCACGAACTGATGCCTAGAATAAATATGAAATATTGGAATTAGAAAAGTTATTTTTTTACTTTAGTCATTGGCATACGAAGAAGTATGTAAGGATTATTTGGATTTTCAAGAAATACTTTCCACGTCCATGCAATAAGACCATCTTCACTACGAGTTCGATTTGATGGATCGGCCTATACAAGATAAATCATTTGAAAATAGATTTCAAATAATTTCTTTACCCAAAAACGAAATGCTTGATTAGGTACATCTTGTAAATGAATACCTATACTTCCAGTACTAACTGCGAACATTGATGTTAAAGCAAGTAGATTATCTTGTGGTTTAGGTATTCTAAAAATAAGATTATAAATTTCATTTCAAATGATAATATATGTATATACCCATCAGTATTATGACCACCATCGATTATCATAAATGCACTATTAGGTCGTGTTAATTTATGTGGTACTGAAATACATAAATAATGCCACCAAATAGGATGATCAGTAACAGTTTCTATTTAATATAATAAAAACAAAATGAAGAATTATAATTTTATTGATAATTGTCTTACCATCTAACCATTTTTGTGATGTAAAATTAAGAATATATAAAACATAATCCGGTTGTTCATAAGTACGAATTACTATCCATCCATAATTTGGATCAGGTGCATGAACATAATCATCTAATGGTGTTGATTCAATTTGACTTACACATAAGAAACTTACGATAATAAAACTCAAAAGAGCAACTATAGATCGACTATGTTGCATTCTCGTAAGATAATGATATACCTTTAAATATAAAAATGTGTTTTCACATTACTCTTATAAGCAACATTTTTATTGACTTTATTCAGATAAGGGTTTTTGCCATTATCATATTTACATATCTACATACTTATATAATAAGAAAAGACGAAAAAAAATAAACCTACTTTATTCTGAAGATAAATAAGTCAAAAATTTGAACAAATACGACATTCACGACTATCCTTGACGTATAAAAATGGATTAAACTCCTCCCCTCTAATAAGAGAAGATCCCCCGGAGGACCTTTTTTGCACGAATTGTGTGTATTTTGATGGGAATTTCGACTTAGTTCGATGGATCATAGTAGAAGGCCCGAGGTCTTTTATTACGCAGGGAAAGGTATCATTAAAATTTGATTTTAATAGAAATTCTATGTATTTATATCTAGATTTTTATTAAAAAAGTTCCAGTAAATTATTGGAAATAAATAGATATTTACAATATATTAATCTTATGAGAACGTTTTGCTTTCATCACAATGAAGTAAAAATAGTTTGCTTATAGATAAAACTATTAGTCATTAGAAAGCCTTGAAAATTGTAATGAAAATAAGCGTATCTTATTCAAGATTTTTAACTTGATAAAAAAAATTAATCATTCAATATCATATCTATTTTTCATGAGACTTAGACAATAGTAAATAAAATTTATTTAAGAGAACAAAATAAATATGTATGATTCATTTCATTCTATTTTTATTTTTCCCAAAAAAAAAACAAACCAAATATATACTGATATTCATCGTAATTCTGTTTTAATCCTGATATTCAAATTTTACAAACAAACAACAATGAAAAAATTTTGCGAAAGAAAAAGAGAAATCAAATGATATATATATATAACGAGAGAGAAATGTCAGATATCTAGAAAAAGTGGAATCAAGAATATAGAATACATTTGCGTATAGATGCATGAATAAAGCACATAATTAAAAATGATTAATCACCGGCCTTTATCAATAAATATATTCACTATAATTTCTTTCTATCTTTATTTGCAGCAACACATTGTGTTTTCTTTGTTTCGAAATCAATTTGTTCATTGTTATTATTGTTCGAAGTTTGTGTTGATGTCAAAGGATTCATAGCTGATTGTATGGCTTGAAGAAATTTTGCAGCTGATTCAGGATCAGCTGGTAAACTAAACGGTGATTGACCTTGTTGTTGTTGTTGTTGGAGCATAGGTGAAAGCCATGCAGCTTGTGTTGCTAAATAATAAGACCAATTTAATAAAAATCGAAGATCAGGAGGTGCAGGTACTGATGGATTGTTTGATGAAGGAGTAGGTGATTGAGATTTTAATGGTTGAACAGGCAATGTAGGTGTAGGTGGAGCAGGTGAAGGAGATGAAGATTTAAGTTGCATAGGATATTCAATTGGACTATCAACTTTACTTTGTTGATTATTATTTCCGTGTTTTCCATTACGTGTTGGAACTCTAACACGACGAGTATCGACTGCTTTAAATTGATTTTTTTCTTCATCTCTTTTAGCACGATTAATATAATATTGTGTAATATCAGCTTTATTTTGAATAAAATTACGTGGTTGACCAGCATGTTTATATTTTATATGATAAGTTGCAGCATAACGTGTATGAATTTCTTCACCACAATAACCACATCTAAAATGATATAAGCAAAAATATTTTCTAACGATGTTACAATAATAAAATTCTAATCCTATTTGATGATCAGAGATACGATTATTTCCTTTTTCTAACTTCCGACATGTATAATCTTTGTATTCTCAGTCTATTTGAGATAAGTTGATTCAAATTGACATGCTGATTGTCACATACACGTGTTATCTGTATTATATTTATGTGTACAAAACTGATTTCTTTTTTCTAAGATCAAACAAATTTCTTTCTAAACAATGACTATTAAATGAACAGATGGAACCGGATATTTGTATTTATTTTAAGAAATGAATAAAAGAGAAGAAAATGATAGTTAATCGACTTAAAAAAAAAAGACTAAGATCAAAGTAACTTACTTATACGGCTTTTCATTGGTATGTACATATACGTGATCTTCCATACTTGGTCGATGATTTGTTGTATATGAACATAATTTACATGCATATCTATTTAATGCATATAAAATTTTATAATAATAAAAGGTACAAGAAAAAATATTTACTGTTTATCAGGTTCATATAATGAACCATAGTACTGTTTAGGACGATTGTAAACAAGAAGATATTCACCACCATCATCTAAAAAAGAAAATATAATCGATATACATACATATTTAAAACTAACCTTCAGAATCTGATTCTTTTCTATCATTTGCTAATGATGATAATGCTGTATCAATAATCGGAGTTGATGGTGGTGAAAATTTAAAGTTAAATGATGATGATGATGATAATTCAATATGATTAGTTGGTGTTGTTTGTTCATTATTATTATCTAGAATATCTGATGTTGGTAATAGAATAGATTGAAAATGATCGGTTTCATAAATTTCATCATTTGCTTCTGGTGAATATTCATTTCCATCATCTATTATTGTTTTTAATGAAATAGCTACACCATTTATTGGTTCGGATTCATTATCATATTGATTTGATTGACGTTGTTTTTTAATTTGTGGTTCTTGTATTGCTGTTATTTCTGAACTATTTAAATCTCGATAAAAATCTTGTTCACGTACACGATTTTCATGTATTTTAACTTCCATATTTGGATGACAAAGTTCAATATGAACCATAATTGTTGATTTTGTTGTCGATTTATGACCACAATATGCACATGCATATGGTGTTAAATCTGTATGACGATATATATGATTTTGCATAAGTGATGTTGATGGTGCTTTATAATCACAATGTTTACATTGAAAACGTAATGGACGTTTATTTGTTGGTTGAGTTTTAGGTGTTGATGATGGAATTGAAATAGTTGAATCTAACATACGTTTACCAGTAGGTAAAATACGTTTAGGTGAGGTAATTGATGATGATGATGATGAAGAGGATGACGATACCGTTGAAGATGGTGGAGAAAGTAATACAGGTAATCTTTTTCTAATACTTAAATCAAGTACACCGTTATTAGTTCCATCTTCATCGTCTGTTATAACTTGAGTTATCATGATAAATCTAAAGTATGATTTTGTTGATATGAGTCATCGAGTTAAATTCATAAGAAAAAAAAGAAATATGGCATATTCTCTGTCTTCATCGCGTTTTTACTCATGTAATTGACTATATTAGTCATACTATATATGGACTATATAATTTATGATACTCAAATGCGTATTTTGTTTACTTAGTTTAGCAAATAAGAACTACGCTTTCTTTTTGTGTATTACTTATACTTGAAACTCTTGCTAGTTCGTATCAATATATATTTACTTATTTGATTTCAAAATATGCAAAATTTTAAATCATAAATGCTTTTAAGATAAAGAAAGATAGGCGATAATGCTAATAGACAAATCTGTCAATGTTTATATAAGTAAATATTGAACAATTGCTAATAAACATCATCTAACAAAATTTCTTACCCGCTTTCAATCAGGTGACAAGAGAGAATAAGAAATAAGACTAGAGTAATAACGATGAGTAAACAAAATCTTAAAGACGATAATTGTTAAGTACACTTAACAAATATACCCAAAAAAAGAAAAGAAATAAGAATGTTTACATAATACAATTAGAATATAAAACAACTAAGTTCTCTTCTAGATTATTTTTCGTTTAAACTAAAGAGCAAGAAAAAAAGAAGAAGAATGATTTATACTTATTTATTTAAAAATCGTGATAAAAGTATATATGAGAAATAGCACCATCAGGTACTGTTTATTTTCGGTAAGACATGTGCAAACATTATCTAATTCTTAGTCGTTTTTTTCTCATATAACAAAAAGAAAAAGTGAGAAGGAAAATACTTGTCAAGCTAAAATAAATTTTTTCTTTTTTTTTTTGAAATAACCTACCTATGTCAATTATTTGCTAATCGAATACTACCGTCGTCTCTTTCTTTTTTTTTTCTTCTTCTTACTTGGTATTATTGTCACTTCAATCGAATACACATAGAAAAGAGTGATATCTCTCTTCCTCTTGTTCTTTCTGTCTCATTTTTTTTTTCTTCTTTACCAATTCAACAAGATTTTTGTCGAAATATCCACTTTTTTTCTTCCCTCTGTTTGATAAAGCTTTGTGTAAATTGTTCTCTCTCTCTCTCTCGGTTTGTGCTGATGCTGTTTGAAAAAGGCAGATGGCGTCTCTCCTGTATATATGCTTATACGTGTGTTTACTCCTTCTTTCTCCTTCATCATCATCGTCATTTAAATATTTTGAGTTAAGAATATACGAATGATGAAGAGATGTATAATCCGTTGATGACGACTGTGATCAAATTTCGAATGTGTAAGAGCGCACGCGCATATTCCGTAAATCCTCACTCTTTCTGTTTATTTTTATCAAAAGTTTGTTGCGCCAATAATTGCTTTTATCGAACGGATGAAGAAAGAGACAGAGAGAGAGAGAGAAAAAATATAAGTGAGTTATTTGAGAACTTGTCATCCGTTGCGCGTGCATACATACAATTGTTCTGCTAGTTAGAATTTACATTAGATGATAAGAGAATAATAAAGCACAAAAAAAAAAAAAGAAAAAATTTTTTTTTCTATGATTATAATCAATCATAAAATAAATAGTTCTGAAAGACAACTATATGTGATATACTTACTCAATAAATACTTCTAATTCATGTCATTAATAATACATTGATTTAAAATGCAAGCAAATAAATGACGTGTGTATACATTGACATTATATTAGAGCCTTGCTTGCTCTTTCTCTTTTTTTTTGTAAAAGAAAAGATTCAAATATATATAAAATCAAACAATTTATTCACTCTTTTCAACAAGAAGAAGAAAGAAAGAGATCGAGTAATCACTATCACAGACGTTTGCATTTGCTTTACTGGCGTATGATGTCATTTAAAGCATATATATTTATATTTATAAGCAGTTGACACAATAAAATACGTTTTAGATTATAATATATATTGTTATCAGTGTAGAGTATAACAACACAACGTTTTTCCTGTTTACTTGTATAACTACCCTATCGCTTGTAAATAATCAAAGCAACAAAGATTGTATGTGTGCATATGTAAAAGAACGTATTATATCAAACAACAACAGAAAAAAAATAAATCGGATATTTGAAATTAAAATCAGTTGAAGAACAAAATTTATTATTTTTAATTTTATCTATAGATGAAATAATTGATCGGGGTTGAAGATTTTATTGAAACTAGAAGATAAGCATGTTAAGTACCTCTTCGAATATAAAATTGATTTATACACAGAGAACTATCAAGGTCATTTAAGCACTATTTTGATAGGATTGAAAATGAAACTATAAGAATATTGAATTTAACATGGATTGGAAATTTTTAATATCAAGCGCTCATTTTTGTATCGAATATTTTTATGTTATTGTTTTAATATTATGCATCAATTGTTAAATTATATTCGATCGACATCGCTTAAGAATCGAATATTTTTTGGTCTATCTATTTTTTGTCCAATTGCATTTATTTCGAAATATATTTTTTCTGATAATCCGGCATTAATATTTTGTACAGCAATTTTAGCAATTATTCCATTAGCTGCATTTTCAACTGAAGCAACCGAAAGTGTCGCACAATATTGTGGAAATTTTTTTGGAGGATTCCTAAATTCTGGTTTAGGAAATATTGCTGAACTTGTATTTACAATTGTTGCTTTAAGAAGAGGTTTAATCAATGTTGTTAAAGCATCAATTCTAGGGGCTGTAACATCCAATGTTTGCGTAGGAGTTGGTTTAGGTATGCACGAAAAATATCGATAGTATAAAACTTCGTTTTTATCAATGTATATTTTAGCTCTGTTTTTTGGTGGATTACGTTTTAAAGAACAAACATTTGGTGAAAAATTAGCTGGAATTAATGCTGCTTCATTAACTTGTCTTACAATTGTTATTCTATGTACTAAATAAAAATAAAGATTTTTATAATGTTAGAAACGAATTTTCTTTTGTTTTCTAGGTCCATCAGCATTAAAGATTTCGTTAGGATCGCATGTTATGAGTACAACTATAATGCGTCGTTTTTCTTATGTTAGTGCAATAATTCTTTTTGTACTTGGTATTGTTAATATTATATTTGCTTGGAAAACACATTCCTATTTATATACTGCTGATATTAAACGTAAAACTATAACAAAACGCCGTAATCAAGCTGCATTATCTATGATGGCTCTTGATCAAACACCATCTCCTTTAAATACACCACCCGCACCTACTAATAATAAACTTACGAAAATATATTTACTCATAAAAGAGTTAGTAATATTTATTGGTTAAATTTCTTAGCAAATTAAATTTTTTTTCTATAGTATAAGTACACTGATATTGACCACTATATTAATTGTATGTTTATGTCAATTTATTGTTGATAGTCTCGAAGGGGCAATTGAAAAATTACATATTAGTTCAAGTTTTACAGCAGCTATTATTCTTCCATTAGTTAGTTCAATTATTGAATTTGTAACATGTATTTCATGTGCATTGAAGAATAAAATTGAACTCAGTATGTAATCAAAAATTTGATTTGAAGTTTTTTGACAAATTGTAGCTGTGTGCTTTTTTTCTTGAGTACCACTCAACGGGGACTAAACTGATTTCCTGATTTCTTGATTTCATTTTCGTGATTTCCCATGATTTCTTGTGATTTCTAGTATGGAAATCAATTGAGGATGTGTGTGGATGCGCGTCTGGGTGTGACCGAATGGGGTGTCCGTGTCCCTGTAGATACTGTATTATCATGACACCCACACCCATCCCACTCTACACCCACCCACACTTACATCCACACCCTTCTTCTTGATTTCTAGTATGGAAATCAGTTTGTTCCCCCTTGGTACCACCAGTCGACTCAACACAGCCCAGAGTATCTACTGGAGCAATCAAAAATAGATGGTTATAGTTTTTAGGTATGAGAGAATATTACAATCTAATAGTAGAAGTTGTACAGCTCATAGATGAATTCAGATAACAGATATTCACTAATTATAATTCTTTATTTGTACAAAAAAAAAACTAGCTATAGCAGTAACACAAAATTCAACATCACAAATTTTATGTTTTATTGCTCCAATAACATTAGCTGCAAGTAATTTGATTTTTTACACGAAATCCAATGGTGAAGCAAATATTTTACTTGATTTCGATTTTAAATCTTTTGATCTTATCAGTACAATCTTTTCCGTAGCCATTTGTAAGTTCATATTTTCGTAATATATATATATATAAATCATGAAAATTATCATACATAATTTAGGTAATAGTGTACTTAATGGTAATTCTAATTGGATGCAAGGTATACAATTATTATTAGCTTATGGAACTATTGCAACTGGTTTCTTTTATATGCCTTTTTAAAATTCTACACTTTCTTCTTCATGGAGCATAATCAATGATTGTGATTTTCTTTGTTGTGAAGGAGAAATACAATCAGAATATTCCATATCGTTCGATTCTTTATCTTTCATAAGTTTTTGTTTATATTTAATCGTATAAATTAAACGATCCCAAAAATTTATTTTCGGTGGTAATACTATCTGACTTGACCGGCGTCTTGCAGGTAATGGTGATGCCGATAATTTTAAATTTTCTGGTTGATTCCAAAATGGTTGTTCATCGGTACCAAAAAAGATGTCAGCTTCTTTATTAAGATCAATAAATGTAGTACGATCAAAACGTGGATCAATAATTTGATTATCCTTCTCAATATCTTTTTTAATATTATTGGGACGATATGGCGCTCGACGTGGAATAAATGGTGCAGAAACAAGTTCATGATTATCTTTTTCTTCAGTATATTCCTGAATTAATAATCGAGTTTAAAATTTTTTCATAAAAACAAAACAAATTCCTCTTACTGTAGGTCTTAATTTTGATCGATAATCATCTATTTGTGCTTGTTTCTCTGGATCTACTTTTTTCATACTTGAAATTATCTGACTAATACTTGGTCGATGATTATTTGTTAATGCATGTACTCGATCATATTCAGATATTTGTGTACGTACTTCAAGTAGAGTTTTTTCTAAACGACTTCGATAGTTTTGTACATCATGTGATGGTAATTCTCTATGTGTTTTTTCAATACTTTTACCATATAGATCATGTTTCATTTTTTCTAAATCATGTCGCATTTTTAATAAACCACGTTGAGTTCGATAACGAAATTTTTTATGTTGAAATGGTTTATGTTGTACAAAAAACATTTCTGCTGGAGTACTTTTATTACCAAAAAAATGAAAATTACCCGAATCAACTATATCTGTATATGGATAAGGAGATTCTTTTATATTACAAGTAAGAAGATTTGGTGGATGAAACATTTGTGCCATTCTCATCATTTGAATTTTTGCTTGTTGACGTTCACGAAATGAAAGACGTGGTGTCGTAAGAATAAGATCCGATGTATTCGATGGAGATTTCTCTTCTATAGGTTGATCAATATCATCAAAACCAGCAATAATATCTTCGATATCATGACGCATTGAAACTAATGTTTTAGCTAAAACTTGATTCCATTCATGAGGATCTGTATCGGAACTAATACTATGTGATCGATGAAATCTATTATGAAACATAGCACGTATTTTATCACGTTTTCTAATTGGTTTATTTATATTATTGTTTTTATCGTGAATAGGACTGATTGTATTATCAATAGCAACAACAGCAAAAAATTCTACTTCATCATTTTCTAATTTCATGTCAATGCTTATTTGTGGTTCCAAAAGATCATCAAAATGAACATGTTTTGTTGGTGATTTATTCATAAATTCTTCATAATATGAATCATCACTTGAACTATCATCGTTAGATAATGTTGATTCGGAATCTGTTGACGTTTGACTATGTTGTATACTTGATTGTGGTGTCAAATATTCAGAGTGTATTGAAGTTTGAGGAGAATAATTTGTAACTACCGACTTCACTGATTTAACTGGCGATCGTGATGTAGAATTTTCGGAATATATTGAAGTTTGGGGAGAAAAAGTTGTAACTATTGACTTAATTGATTTAACTGGCGATTGTGGCCTAGAGTTTTCAGAATGTACTGAAGTTTGAGGTGAATAATTTGTGTCTATTGACTTAACTGATGTAATTCGTGATTTTGATATAGAATTTTCAGAAACTATTGAAGTCTGTGGAGAAAAAGTTGTAACTATTGACTTGACTGATTTAACTGGTGATTGTGGTCTAGAATTTTCAGAGTGTGTTGAAGTTTGAGGAGAATAATTTGTAACTGTTGACTTAATTGATTTAACTGGCGATTGTGGCCTAGAGTTTTCAGAATGTATTGAAGTTCGTGGACAATAATTTGTACCTATTGGCTTAACTGGTGATTGTGGTGTAGAATTTTCAGAGTGTATTGGAGTTTGAGGAGAATAATTTGAACCTATTGACTTAACTGATTTAATTCGTGATTTTGGTATAGAATTTTCAGACTGTATTGAAGTTTGTGGAGAAAAAGTTGTAACTATTGACTTAATTGATTTAACTGGCGATTGTGGTTCAGAATTTTCGGAATGTGTTGAAGTTTGGGAAGAATAGTTTGTATCCATTGACTTAACTGATTTAATTCGTGATTTTGATATCGAGTTTTCAGAATGGATTGATGTTTGGGGAGAAAAAGTTGTAACTAATGACTTAATTGATTTTATTGGTGATTGAGGTGTAGAATTTTCGGAATATATTGAAGTTTGTGGAGAATCATTTGTAACTATTGATTTAACTGGTGATTGTGGTATAGAATTTTCAGAATGTGTTGAAGTTTGAGGAGAATAATTTGTAACTGTTGACTTAATTGATTTAACTGGTGACTGTGATGTAGAACTTTCAGAATGTATTGAAGTTTGAGGAGAATAATTTGTATCCATTGACTTAACTGATTTAATTCGTGATTTTGGTGTAGAATTTTCAGAATGCATTGAAGTTTGAAGAGAAAAAGTTGTACGTATTGACTTAACTGGTGATTGAGGTAATGCAGGATTATTAGTAACAAGAAACGAAGCCATCGTTTGTTATCAAACGAACTAAAACGAAGAAAAAGATGGATAAGATATGATGTTATTCATGTATACATATGTTATACTTGCACGCTTCACTTATTTTCAAACAATTTTTTTCTCTTTCTTGAGAGTGACTATGTTTTCACCTGTTGATAATGTTACATATATATATATATGAGTATAAAAATAAAACGCCTCGATGATGAGCATACTTAAGCATTTATTTCTTCCTTGTAAATGTGATGGTAATCATTTTGTTTGATTACTTTCTATTACATTAAAAGAAAGTAACTGTTTTAATGATAATATTTATGGAAAAAAAGAAACTATACTATATGTTGAATTTTCATTTCGTTCAATTTATATACCAAAATATTTAATAATATACATTCTTATATTCATATAATATTTCAGTCTTTTTAGTTATTATTGATTTAAACAAAACATCTGTTAAATACTATTAGTCATATTTCTGTATAGCTTTAATGAGCAAGTTTATTTCACATTAGAATATATTTCATGACATTCTTAGTTTCAATACAGAAACTTAATGGCAAATATATATGTATATATATCAAATTTGGCGAAAAAACAAACTTATGATTGCTAGAAAAAAGAACGAACAAACTATTCGATACATTATTTTTATTGATGCAAATAGTCTTTCAAGGACAACTCATTTTATCATCAACTTTAGATCTTTCTTTTCGTTCTCGACAAATAACTAACTAAATAATTGCTACCATTGTATTCGCATATAAATATATTTGCTGTAGACAACAACAAGAAAGATTCGAAGATTTAAAAAAAATACCATCTAAACAGGAAGCTATTCATATACCTCCAACAAATGTTGATATTAATAGTATAGCAGATACATTTATTAGAACAATCGTTCAATTGATCTTGTCAATATATGGTTTAGAATTTATACGAAAAGAAACAGAGTATGAATGGTTATTAATCAAAATAATTTCAGTCATAAAGTATGTTGAGTCATTTTTGATATCATGATAGATTACTTGTTTGATTCAAAAAATGAAAATGACTTGTCTTATCAGTATAATATCTTGATGAATAATAGGTTTTATGTTGTACTTAAAAACAAGGAGAAGTATTATCTCTTCACTTTATTGCAGTTTAAAATCCGACACACATCTTCAATTAAATAAATATATTTTTTTCTATCAATATATTCCGTGTCAGTGACTCTCTTTCACTTGCTTCACACACTTAACAACATTCAAAGAAGAGAGAAAGAGAGAGCGCGCGCGCGAACAAAGAATAAGAACAAAAAAAACCAAAAAAAAAAATGGGAAACAACAATAAAAATAAAATTGTTGCCGCAGTGACTGCATGCAAACGCACAAGAAGAAAACGAGTTTAATATGTATATTCAAATTGTGCATGTATGTCATCAATAATAAAAACAGATAAGTTAATTTTTTTTTGTTTTCTCAATCATAATAATAACCAATAGCCAAAGGCCAGCCAACAACATTTAACAGTGCAAAGAACAACAGATAAAAACAAAAAAAAAAATGAACCCATACATAGGGAAAAAAGAAAGAATAGATATATTTATATATTTATATATATAATATAGAAACGGTTATCTCACTGTTATTTTTTTATTCCGGGAGAGGAAGAAGAAGAAGAAGAAGAAGTAGTAGTAGAAGAAAAAGTATTATCAACTGATAATGTTGAATCATTATTATACTTTGAATAGATAACATTGGCAAAAATCGCAATAAATATAGCTAATAAAGCAAAACCAACAGATATAACAAATGCCCATTGTTGATCAGTCAATGTTCGACTTTCAAATAATTTCAATGATTTGAATTTTCGAGAACATATTAAACGATATCGATTTAGAAATGAAATATGTTGATCATGATTATCATTATTATTCAATAAACGATTGTCTAATAGTTTTGAATTTGATAAAACAGTCGGTAAATCTCCTGGTCGTGGTAAAACAAAATGTGTTGCAGGACTAAATGGACTATTTAATGTTAAACCTTCATCTGTCGTACGTATAGCACAAACACGTACACGATAATCAACACCGGATTCTAAATCTGTTGCACGATATGATGTTAATTCACCATTATAAATTACTGTATAATCATTTTCTTTTCGGTATGTTTGAAGTTGTAATATATAACTGATTGTATCATTACCAAGTGATTTATGTGCTTGCCAATTAAATACACATGAAGTAGATGTTATATCTGTTATATTTGGAGCTAAAGAAGAAAATTATAAGTATCTCTTTAAAACTTGATAGTTCGTATGAGAATTGGGGTATTATCGATACTTTTAGTAAAAGTCACACTTCGTTATTGC